AAACAGCAAAACGAAGGTGTTGTTCGAACCATCAGCATCAAACGCCCTAAAGCAAACTGATATACTATGGAAATAGGTCCTTCACATCGTAGTCAATGGACTTGTGCAAAGTATCTGCAACGGCAGCTTCGGTAAACACAGGGTTGATCGTGTATACACGATCGCATGGTACGCATCGACTCTGATGCGCAGCTAAAGCTAGAACCCTGTCATTTTAATGCACACTGGTGACTTCCGCAGTCGCAGGCTGAAGACGCTGAAGCCGATCTTCAGTCAGTAATTCCGTCACGAATCCTTGAGCCGCTCAGCCTACCAAAACGAAAGCAATGCTGGGTATGAAATCAGCAGTACGCGACGAGAGTCCTCACCTTTTGAGATTGTTCAGCAGAGTGTTGCGTCTGCAGAAATGTCGACTGCACATAGTCAATCATTTCAAGAGCTTCTAAGCGACGAAACAAATGTCTCGCTTGATGAGACGTTTCATCCACCTCGGTCGTGGGGAAATGCTGGGCTGTGGGCATTGCATTTATATACATTAATCATTTCGCCAATAGCACTGCAATTGTGCGTTCACGACAGTAATACCGGTAGAATCCAGCAGGCAAACGCCGTGCGAAATGATAAATGAGCTACACGTCGTGTATCTTGATGCTGAAGTTTTGATGGACATGCTGGGATCAGCTGATTCTTTCGCCGCATGCACCATTGCTCCCGAGCCATTGCTCCTTAGACTTTTCCTTGAAAAACGTAATGTAACTATTACAACAAATCTACAAGATGGCAACTTGTAATTTGGTAGTTGGCTAGCTCTGAACTTACGCGCTCACAACCTTCGATACAATTGCAGCTCCCAGAACCGACGGTTGATCTTCAAGAGCAGCAACATCTCCAGGCGAATTGGTAGCAAGTTGTGGCGCTGAAGAGACGGCACGTGCCGCACCTTGCTGAACAGACGCTCCACCGCATTAGAAGTAGGTGGTATGAAGCGCATAGCACCGTAGGCTTGAGCAGCGACTCGCTGTTTCTTTGGCGCTTTCAGCGCGCGATCCGCAAAGCCACTGCGGTCAGCATCTTCGATCCGTCTTCGTCGACGTGATCCGCTGTGAGCACCGCAAAGTCCTTGAGCAGGCTGTGCTGTTCAGGCGTTAGTTCAGCCTCTTTGCCAAGCAAGACTTCGACGTACGCCTTTTCAAAGGCGGGGCACTTCACGACGGAGGCCTCCGCGTCCAGATACTCGTTCACCGACGGGTGCGGCTCGATCAGAGCGTCAAAAATGTCACGCACGTCAAGAAGCGTGACAGTATCGTCGCTCTAGACCTTCTTGGAAGCCGACTTGAAGTCACGCAAGTCGTCCTGAAGCACACGTAGCTTGTTCTCCTCGTGACGCGTTGGCAACAACTCCGCCAGCTCGTCGTCCGAAGTGTCAGTGAAGTCCTTGATTGCAAAAAAGCGCTTTACGATCGTGTAGATCGAGTCCCAACAAGTAGCTTGTCGCAGCACAGGCCTCAAAGAAGTGCTTTTTCTCATTAATAAAAAATGTCAAAAGTCAAAGGTTAAAAAAAATCAGCCAATTAAAAAGTTGTAAGACTTACCGAAGTTTTGCCGATTGGTTGGGATTGTGTAACTTTCGCATCATCTCCTGCATCTTGCTCAACAATGTGCCATGGTCTGCCATATATTTTTGGACGGCGAGGTTGAGGCGATGTGAGGCACACCCGATCAAGGGGATTGACAGCAAATCAGACAGCTTGGTGTTGACGCCACAGTTGTCGCCGACAAGGTAGATCACGTTACTATGTCGCGATTAAAAAAGGAGGATCCCTTCGAGAAACTTCAGGTGGCTTGCTGTAGAATGATCGTCCCTATCGTCGTCGATTAGAGGAGCAAAGGCAGGTAGCACTTTGTAAGTGCGATTATCGTGCTCGAATACGGCAAAAACCGCGAGATAATGCTCGGACTGGAACGTCCACCCGTCGAACATGATACCAAATTTGACGGGCATCGCCAAACCGATATCAATTTAGATCTCACGAACGACCAAACCGGCGTACTTAATCAGTGTCTTCGACGAAATGCTCTCTAAGTTCGTGTACTTGAGCACGAGGGGATCCTCGCACCATGAAAATGGTAGGTTGCTGCCAGTAGTCCACTCCAGCCAGTAGAAGATAGTCTGCGACTTTCGGTCGATGAAGCTGACGAGAGTGGCAGTGTTGGTACCGCTGGTCATCATAGTTGCCACGAAGTCTGGGTGGTGCTTTAGGACATGGTCGAGCAGGTTACTGCAGCCCGTCTTGGATACCTGCTTCCGCACAACATTACAGCGACAGTGAAAGAGCTCCGTCGGCTCACTGAGCACCTAAGATGGGCTTGTAGAAGTAGCTGCACACCTGCCGTGTGCTGAAGGGGTTGTTGGTTGCCATCTTGATTCGAAAATGAGGACACGTTTGGCGAAAGAGCAACTTTTACAGGAGATTAAATCACTGGTTGGGAGAAGCACACAGTGCACCAACTACTGTAAAAAAAAGTAATCACGGTAAACAATCATTTTTACAAAGCACTTTTTACCTTAAAAAATCTTAAAAACCACAATCGTTAGTTATTTCACGTTTTTTTGTTTAGCAAGAAATAAATTATTCCGTATTAATATTTCCGTTAATTTTCAATACAATCTTTTATTCGGAGGGCCTACCTACTAGTAATACAATTTTTTAGTTTTAGAAATATAATTTGAAGTAATATTTAACATTGCTGTTGGGACAAACAATCTTTATTCGGAGGGCCTACCTACTAGTAATACAATTTTTTAATTTTAGAAATATAATTTGAAGTAATATTTAACATTGCTGTTGGGACAAACAATAAAAGAATGGCCCAAAGTGCAGCCGAGAGAGACGTTCATGCGCATCGAGAAAAGAAGCCACGAGCTGTTACAGCATGTACAAGTGGAGCGACAAGAATCGCTCTTGGGCCAACTTGCTGAGAGTATTCTGGATAAGGTGGCGTATATTGCGACCCTGTGATATAATATATATTATAAACGAAGCATCCAAAGTTTGCGCAAGCTTATTACCGGTACCACTGCTGCAAAAACCAACCCCGGTGTCAGTAATAAGCTTCCTAGCAACATTCACGCAACACTTATCACAGAGCACGCTAAATATTTTGTACCCCTACAGTGCCCGCCAAATCATTAAGACCCCCGATTTGGCGGGACAATTCTGACAATATCTCGGCTTCTAGCCTGAGTTGAGAGCTGCTACTTTGATATGTTCTCTCTATTAGGCTTACAGAGGTGCCACTTGTGTTAACAACTTAGATTTCTATGTATCTGACAGGGCTGGTATACAAATTCAAGGTTTGGACATCAGCGTCAAATTATTAAGACCACATCCTTTTTATGACGAAAAAAACACTTTTATGAACAGACCTTACAAATTTCTTTATTAAAAATTAGTGCTTAGTCAGACCACCTTTCTTCTTGATCACCGCTAGACAGCGGCGAGGCATGGACTCTATCAGCTTCAGCAAGTAGTCTAGCTGAATGGAGTCCCATGCAGCCATGATTGCTGCCTCCAGATCAGCAACGTTTTGGTACTGGCGGCCATGTGCATACACCTTGGCCGCCATCGCCGACCAGACGTTCTCGATGGGGTTGCAGTCAGGCGAGCGAGCTGGCCAAGCCATGGTGTTGAGTTGCATCTCCTGCAAGAATTGCTTCGTTTCATGCGAGGCATGAATCGAAGCATTGTCTTGCTGAAATACAAAGTCAACACCATAGTTAGCGTGAGCAAAAGGGAGTAGATATTCAGATAACGTGTAAATATAGTCACCTGAATTCTAACGTCCACGCAAGATGGCCAGCTCACTCTTACCTGCTGCACTAAAAGCGCCCCACACCATGACGCTCCCTCCTCCATTTTAGCGACGCAGATAAGACTGTGCAGGCTGGCGCATGTCCCGCCAGTAATACTTGAATCCATCAGGACCATCTAGATTAAACTTCTTTTCATCTGAAAAAATAGTGTAAATACCAGTTTCTAAAAAATAAATATTGTTATAAAACAAAATTGCAGCAAAACTTTAATATGAGAGGCTTACCTGGCTTCAGTATGTAATCTTCTGCCCATTGCATGCGGGCAGCCTTGTGCGCTGCCGTGAGGGGAAGCGTGCGGTCCATCTTGGTGTAAACCAGATGGTCCACACGCTGCAGAACCCGCTGGATCGTCCTCACGGACGCCTTGATGCCGAACTTCGTCTTGAGCTCCGCAGCAAAGAACTCACCTGTCGCCGTGGCACGCACAAGCTGCCGCAGCTCTCGTTCCGTCAGTGCCGGTTGCCGCCCAGCCCTTCGCTCTCCACCCCTGTCTTCCTTCCGTCCCCGCTCCGCCTTGACTGCGTTCCGGACGGACGTACGGGACCGACCTGTCTTCCTAGCGATCTCGTGCAGAGCCTCCGTCGTGGAGACCGACGATAAACCAGTACTCTTGTTGGGAGAGGGTCTTGCCGTGGCCCATTATCAAATTAAAGGCTCACAGCCTCCGTAGCGTCTAGCTACCCGCTCATTTCCGCCAACCATCTACTTATTTTGAACATCACTCTTTTAATATAGAAATTTGTAAGGTCTGTTCATAAAAGTGTTTTTTCGTCATAAAAAGGATGTGGTCTTAAAAATTTGACGCTGATGTCCAAACCTTGAATTTGTATACCAGCCCTGTCAGATACATAGAAATCTAAGTTGTTAACTCAAGTGGCACCTCTGTAAGCCTAATAGAGAGAACATATCAAAGTAGCAGCTCTCAACTCAGGCTAGAAGCCGAGATATTGTCAGAATTGTCCCGCCAAATCGGGGGTCTTAATGATTTGGCGGGCACTGTAGGGTCAGTCTGTGGTCGCGCAATTGGGACACCGCCAATGCAATAAAATTGGTTAGGCTGTCCAGCCAGCTAAAGCTGTCCTCCCAGTACTAGAATGCAGTTATTGTTGCATTTATGGTCATTACTCTACTCGTCGTCGCTCTCCTCGTCCCCGTCGTTTTCCTCTAGCGAGCCCAAAATGGTGGTTTTACCTTGCTTAGCCAGCGAGGCCTTGATGTGCTCCACGCCTTTGTCAGAGATCATGTTGGTGTCTAGCTCCAGACGTGCAAGGGCCGTCCTCGTAGGCACGAAGGTGTCCACGACTGCAATCGCTCCCTTGGCTGTGATCTCGTTGCCGCACAGAGACAGTTCCTCAAGGGCCGGGAGGCTGCCTGAGCTCAAAGCCGCCACAAAATCCTTCAGGCCCTCCGACGTTACCTCGTTCTCATCGAGGCGCAGAACTTTCAGCTGCGATTGGAACTTCAGCAGAGGAGCAAGGGACACGATACCGTCGTCCGCCAACTCGTTACCCGACAGATCCAGCTCCACCAATTGGATCTTGCTACTTGCTAACGCCTTCACCACCTTCGTAGCACCCTCAGCACACAGCAAAGCATCGCGCAGCTTGAGGTACTGAAGACTCGGCTGCTTGCTGATGGCTTCGGCGAGCTGCGTGGCGCCGTCTTCTTCGAACGAGCAATCGCTCAAGTCGAGCGACTTAAGGTCACGCAGGTGTGTATTGACGCTGCGAGCCATCTGTTCGCTCGCCTCCGGGCCTGCACGGGCACTGGCATAGCGCAGAAGCGTCAGCTTCTTGCACTGGGCAAGGACGTTAGCCACCGCTACACAGCCGTCGTGTCCGCTCATGTTGTTGTAAAAATGAAACTCCTCCAGCGTTGATTGAGCATCCTTCCCATTCTGCAGCACGATCTCCTGGGCGATCACACTGGCAGCGGCAGCGGAAATGCCATTGTTGCAGAACAAGAGACGGCGGAGCGTCGGCTGTGGGATCAGGAGGTCAAAGCAAGCGCGCACACCCTTCTCTCCAAGTGCGTTATCACTCAAGTCGATTTCATCCAGACCGTGGCCACGAAGTGCGCGGCACATGACGGAGAGGACCCGGAGAGCCTCGTCTTCTGGGCGGCCAGCGATCACATCAGCCAAGTCCACCACTTTGAGATCGCTTTGTAGGCGCGACAGCAACGCGTCCGCGATGACCTTTGCACCAGAGTCGGTGTAGCTCTTTCCGCGCAGAGAAATAGACTTAAAGTGCAGCGGCGAACGCTCGTTCACCTTAATCCCAGCAGCCTCCAGCAGTTGCTCGGCACGAGCAGCATCAACAACTTCACGACTTTTGTTCTCGAACTCAAAGCTTGCTTCAGAAATCGTCACCTTGTCAAGCATAGCCGTCACGTCCTTCACCGCAGCAGTCTCCTCTTCATCGTCGTCCTCTTCCTCCTCTTCGTCCTCGTCGTTGTCTTCTAGCGATCCCAGCAAGTCACTTTTCCCCATGCTTTCCAGGAGCGACTCGATGCTAGCCACACCGTCCGCCGAGATCTGGTTGCCATCGATCTCCAGTTTCACGAACGCCTTCTTGTCAGCGACAACCTTTACAAATGCAATCGCGCCAGACGCGCCAATTTCGTTCACGTTAGCGACCACCTTCTCCAGCGCCGGCGCTCCAGCCTTCAGAGCCTTGGCAATGGCCTTAGCGCCCTTGGAACCGATCTCGTTTTCCTCCACCTGCAGCACACGCAACGCAGCACTATCACGCAGCATGTGTCCCAGCGCCGGCATACTCTCAGCAGTCAGGTCGTTACCAGACACATCCAGTGCCGTAAGCCACTTAGCAGCGCCGCTCTCATGCAGCGCATCTACGATGGCCACCAAGCCGTCGTCCTCAGTGGCAGCGTCACGGAGATTGATCTCCACCAAATTGGGCATGTTCTTGACTGCTGCAGCGATAGCCTCACCTCCCTGGGCCTTGAAGGTATTGTCGCTTAGGTCAAGTTTCTCGAGCTTTTGAAGCGAGGCCAGAGCCTTAGCAAACGTTAGACTTCCCTCCCTCTGAGCTCGAGTGGCTGAAAATCTTAGATCCTTGAGTGCCGGGGATAGCGGCAGTAGTTTAGCCAGCGCAATGGCACCACCATCGCCGCTCATGTTGTTGTAGAAGTGGAAGGTCTCGAGCTTGGTGGGGGTGTCCTGACCGCGGAACAGCAGCACCTCCTGTGCAATGACACCCGCAGCCGCAGCCGAGATACCGTTGTTGCAGAAGTACATGTGCTGCAACTGCTCCTGGTTTTGCAACAGGCCGAAGCAGGCACGCACGCCCTTCTCGCCTAGTGCGTTGTCACTTAGATCGATGCGCGTGAGCGTCTTGATGGCGCTCAGCGCGTCGCAGAGCGTGGACAGCACTTGAAGCGCCTCGTCCTCGGGGCGACCAGCGATCATATCGGCAAAGTCCACGCTCGTGAGCTGAGCGAAGGCACCGCGAGCCTCCAGACGCGAGAAGAACGCGGCAATCACTCGCGCTGCCTCGATGGTGTAGCTCTTGTTGCGCAGCGTGATGTGCGTGAAGGCCGGCGGTTCCGCCTCTTCATTCGCGTATGTTTGCACCAACTCGTGGGCACGTGCTTCCGTCACGAGCTCGCGCTCGCCCTCGAAGGACAGCACGGTCTTGGAGGTCGCCATGATCGAGGTGCTCTTGGTGGGCGACTAACTTGGCGTTTGTAAGAGAGAATGATTGTGTCCCCTGTAAAACATGATATCGAATTTACTTAACTGACGTAGCATTAGAAATGGCTATCGATCTTCGGCTTGCATCAACCGATCACTTGCTGCGTGGTGGCATGTGTCCGTGTTACTCCTAAGTTATCAAATCCATCAACGCACTATGCAAACTACTAATATATCCGGCCGCATTGTCCGCCGCTCTGCTGCGGCGGTGAAGATCCTTGCCTACCTGTCCGCCGGCTCCAGGACTCCCTTGACGGCTGGCTCCACGGCGGCAAAAGACAGGAACATCCACGCTTCAGCTTACTCGAAGTACGACTGCACTGTTTCCTGCACCTTCTCCACAGTCTCCCGAAGGGTGGACTTGATCAACGACTGCGTTTCCACGAACGATGAGCACGAGAAAATCTCTTCAGAGCCTTCAGCAGCAATAGCAACAAATCAAAATAGTTATGGAGCTAGATACAAGAGCGCGGCATCAACAGCGGGAACAAAACCAGCAAAACGTACTCTCTGCCTTCTCTGCATCAATCTCGCAGAACTGGAATGTCTCCTGCGACCAGTCGATCGCAAACAGGAGCGCAAAAAATAGTACAATAATTGCCGCAATGAACAGAGGCGTGTAGACAAACACACGCTTGGTCCACGTCCGACGGATCTCAGCCGTCTGAATGGCAGTCTGCCTCTCAAACTCTTCTGCCTCTTCAGCAAGCGCTTGAGTCTCACTCGCGTCAACCTCCGGTAGAGACACGGCGTCGGATTCCTCGCTCTCCTGACTAATTGGATCCTTCAGTGCGAAATCTGAATCGGCTTCTGAATCGCTCGTCGCCTTGAGCGTGTTGATGCTCTCGCCACTGGTACTAGGCATGTACTTTGTACGTTCACGCACGCGCTGTACGTCGTGCTGCTGCTGTACTACAGGCGCGTAAATGTCCACCTTATCGTCCAGACCGAGCTGCTTTACGTGGTAATTGGTGGTGGGTCCGTCCCAATCGTTCTTTTCCTCTTTCTCTTCCTCCTCTTCTTTCGCCTGAGCAGGTGCATCCTCTTCCTCAACATTCTCTTTTTTCGCGGTCGCCTTTTCCACCGTCGTGATCGTAGTGGTTACCACCATTTTTTCCGTCGTCTCACTGGAGCATCAACAATACACACTCAACCCGTCAGCTTCTACTTTCTACTACTACCTCTACGTAGCGCCCTACCGTAGGGCGTTGTCCAACGGACTGGCAACTGTCGTGGAGCGAGCTACAAACTGCTGTGTTGACACAGAGCGCGTCGTGGGTTTATTCTGCTGGTCAACCTCCTCCTCGCGTTCGGGCTCAGGCATAGCAGAGAACCTGTCCACCATCCTTCGTGCGATCGAGTTTTTCTTGTCCACCTGATCGCTGGCCACATCCACTACCGTCTTGCTCTTCTTGCTGAGGTGGCCAGTGTCAAGCGAGCTCAGACCCTTCCGCTTGCCGCCTTCCTTCTTGCCGGTCACTCGCGCCACGGCGGCGTCGATGCGTTTCTTCTGCTCCTGCGCCAGCGCCAGGCGTGTGGCCTCCAGCTTGGACAGCTCAGGCGCACTCTCTCCATTGCTGAAGCTCATCGCGGTGTTGCTGCGATCAGCGATCTGGGCTGCCATCTCAACGTTGCTTCGTACTCCTGTTTTTTGTATGGAAATCTCGAAATGAGGCAAGCTTGAACTTTCGGGTAGCTTTTGAATTTTCAAACCGAAGGGCAACCTCCAGATGTTCTCCCTCTCTAAAAAGATCGCTATTGTCACCTTTCTCGATTTCAGATGCTCCGAATTCAAGAAATATCGCTGTAGATGCAGTTTCACGACACATGGCACCAACTGCGTAACGTTGCATTTCGATGTGACCTGACTACAGATTGAGGTGCTTAAGACTGAAGCCGACCTAGGGGGTAGCAGGAATTACCACATACCGGTATAACTTCTTGCAACGTAGTATAATACATGTTTTTATACTGATACAAGTGCTTTAAATATTCGTAAAGCACGTTTTTTTTTTAAAAGAGAGCTTAAGTTGCTACATGAACAGTTAAGAAAATTGGAACAACGATACTCTGAATAAAACCGGAATAAATAACGAATAGATTGCCAATTGAACTTGTCCAGCCCGATTTAATAATTTGCCTAAAGCTGAATTTCAAATCCAGCCCGTTTGGGGCATTCTAGCTTGGTCAGATTTTGGGTGCTTCAGATGTACCGGTATGCTGGCTTCGGAATTACTGCTTTTAATCGGATCGCATTGTGACGCATTTCCGTTGGACATTTTTATTTATTGTTTTTATATTTTAAAAATATTATTCTCGGAAATTATTCTCCTTTAAAATTGGTTTTGTAATATTTAAATTAAATAAATAAATGATTCTATTTTTTTATAGTACAAATTTTGTTCTGGAACCGTCCATGTACAGGAGATCATCCAATGCGGTCGCTCGAAGGTTACTCGAACAATCTCCAAAGGTCAGACGTATCTTCCAGCAAAATCTTTCCATAGATTTCGCCTTTCAACGGTGCCAGTCATTCCCGATTCGCCAGCACGTGAAGCGGAGCACATTGATCTTCCCCTTGCGAGTCACCATGGTCAAAACGTTGTCGCTGCTGCTATTACCCGCGCTGGTGGTGGCCCAGCAACAAGCCATTAATAACGACGTGCTGCTCACGATGCCCGTGGCCATCGATGGGTCGCTCAAAAACCTACAGCTGCTCAAGGGTGAGAGCTTCGAGGACGCTGCAATGTCCTTCGCTCGCTCCAACGGACTAACGGCTGCCACAGACGACGCTCAAGTGCGCGCTGTCATCGATCAGCTGTCAGGTCTGCTGAAGGACAAAATGCAGGAGGTGGAGGCGGCCCAGCAACAGCAGACACAGCCTGATGAGGCTTTACCTAGTGTGCATCTCTCCATCCCACTCACCATCGACGGGTATACGGGCGATCTACTGAAATACGAGACGGAGACCCCTGAAGCCGCTGTGGAGAGATTCCTCTACGCCAGCGGCTTCAGCATGGACGTCATGAGGGAAGTATACCCCCAGTTGATTACACTTGTCAACCAGAAGTTAGAGGAGCTACAACCCCCTAAGCAGGAACTTTTTGCCTTTGTCTTGTCGTTGGATGGAAGGGAGATCACAGTCCGACACTTTGAAGGGGGTGTCCCAATGGATGAAGCCGTGGAGACGCTGCGTGGCATTGGCGTAAACGACGGAGAGTTCATGGACAGAGTGGCACCGCAGATCGCCAACCAGATTGTCAATGAGATCAACAATAGGCAAACAGAACTCGAACAGCAAAGCCAGCAGATTAAAGAACCCGTGACACAGCAGACCCTACAGAGACGAGAACTCTTCTCGGAGCCGCTGACGCTGAATGACCAACCGGCGGTTATGGTCCATTATGACGGATCTACCGCTCGAGAGACGGCGGTGCGTTTCTTGAGTGAGAATGGGATTACAGACGACGCGACAATTGAGTCGATGATGCCACAACTTGTCGGTATTGTGGACAATCGGATGGCTGTATTGTTGGAGCAAGAGGCCCAGGCTCTGGCTCAAAGTACAGCTCAGCAACAGCGACAGCCACTCGTTACGGTACCGATAAACCTTGATGAGCAGCGCCAAGCCGATCTGGATTACTTTGAAGGCGACGATGTCGAAGCTACGGTGCAGCGGTTCCTCGTTGCGGTAGGCTTGGGTGAAAGCGAGGGATTCACCAATAACGTCGTGCAGCTTTCGTCTCTTGTGCGTGAACGGATTGCCGCAATCCCACAGCAACAGGACACAGCAGAAGCTGCGCAACCGACACGACCGGAGCCGCTGTTTGCCATTCCAGTCACAATTAGTGGCAACGTGTACAATCTCGAGTACTTCAAAGGCCAGGAACCGCACAATGTTGCCAACACGTTCTGTTTAGAGAAGCACGAGATTGTACGCGCAGAATTAGGCGTCGAGTTTGACGGAGATCAGCTGCTAGCGTGTCAAAATGTGCTGGTGCAGTCGATTCTCAACACCCTCGACGAGCGACAGCCTGGAGAGCAACAGTCCGGGGAGTCCACCGCTGAATCACCTGCCCAACCGGAAGCTCCACGTCAAGCCGAGCCTGCAAAATCGCCACAAACTGAAGCGGAGACTCTCGTGGATCCTCGAGGTGTCCTTCTTTTCACACTCGACATTGACATGGGTGATGGTACTTCGATCAAGCTACCAGTACACCGCAACGAAAACCCTCAGGAGCTAGCATCTGCCTTCTGCACACAACACAAGCTCGACAAAGAAAACATCCCAGCTCTTGTAGACGCCATGGAGTCCCAGCTGAAAGTGTTGTAGAATGGCCGCTAAAAGGAGTGGTCGGTTGTCGGCCTTCATGACACGTTGTAACGTAACCTTGGAAGGGCTGCGTCAAGTAGAGATGCAGTGATATGCTGTCTCGATCAGGTAGATTGCCCTCTAATAGAGCGCATGTAGACAGCACTACGCCATCTAGCACGAATTTTTTTAAGAACGTTTTACTGTGGTATTTACTGATACATTCGACTTTCATGTAGTAGTACTTAGTACTACGAAGTAGTAACTTTCTTAATGGCAGCGCTCCAACTGATGTTACGAGAAGCGCTCATCATTTGCGTTTTCCTCGCTTGAAGCAAGTCGGTTCTGCTGTCGGCGTGTCAGCATCCCCATCATCCATTTCTTCACACAGATTTCCTCGCCCTGCTCGTCTTCAGAGATAGCATCCTTCCATTCCTCCGACGTGGCACGAGCTCGTGCCTTACTTGTCTGTTGGCGACGCCACACCAAGCACTCGATGCTGTATTCCCGGATATAATGCCAGGGCAAATCTTTCATACCAACCACACCCAGCTCACATTCGGCAAACAGTTCATCCACAATGCTGTCGTGTGCAAATGGCTCCTGTCCAAAGTTGACGCGAACTTCGTTGTACGAGTCCACACCGATTGCCGGGTACCAGCTCGTGTGAGAGCTCTCGATGTCACCTTCCACCACCCGATCAAGCTCTTTGCCGTTGCTTGTGAAGAAGACGTGCGACTGGGCTGTGCTCATATTCCGCCGCACACCGCAGCCCACAGTGTCGCCCACCCCGAAGCGAGGTCCGAATAGTCGCCCCTACAAGACAAAGAAGCATTGTTTAACAAGTCTGATCACATGCGAGTTCAAGCTTAAAGTACATGTAGTTCAAGCTCACCCTCGTGGTTTGTTGATAAAAGCGGCCATCATCTCCATGGTAACCGTAAGATTTCTGGTTCCAGCCTGGTTGTCGCCCCACCAACGGAAAACTTGCCGGCACCAGTCCCAGAGACGTCAGTTCCTCTTCTACAAGTTGCATCTGCTGCTCTTGTTCTTCCTGGGTCTCAGTGCTCATCGCTGGCCTCTCTCGACGGATAATCTGAATCTCAAAGTATCCGCTCGCCACGAGTCCAATCTGGTACATTGGTCTACCGTCCTCCCCAGTATCACGCCGCTTGAACACTGCAACGTGGAATCCTGGCGGGAAAGGCACGTTGGCCCGCACACTGCGGTCATCGCCCATTTCGTCCCCGCTAAACGCAAAGCGAACGACGTGTGACGGTCTCGTGTCCGCCTCGTGCAGCGACTGAATCCTACACATACACAAGAAACATCCGCTCAATCATCGCGTCCGTGCTTGTCTTCATTCTCTTGCAGCTTACTGGTGTTTGACATCGCTGTAGCCTTGGAACCGCCTGGTCTGATCCAGATCCGCGTATGACGGGACGGGTACAATAGCGTGCGTCAGCAATTGGAACATGCGGCTCTCGCTCGTGCATTTGGGGAAGAGCGCGCATAGTTTCGGCTCTATCTCGAGCGTGGCCTCGACGTCCAGCGGGAAATTAAGAGTCGCCCAGCGCTGTGCGAAGAGATCGCGCCAGACGTCTGGAAAGCGCGGCAGTACGCTTTGGGAAACGACACGTGCTGCCACGACCAGTGCCTCAACATCTCGTGCGCTCGAGAAGAGCAGGATCTGATGCAATAGCACGTCGTCCAGCGCCGTGAGTCGGCAGGGAGCTCGCTTGAGTGATGGTCGGTGTGCCTGGCACATGTGGTGACAATTCCAGAATGGACCTTCGGAACGCATGTTGAACACATTGAACTGTTGGGACAATGGACGTCGGGTGATGGGTAAAGGATGATATCTTGACGTTTGTATGGGCTGTTTAGGTAGGTAGGATGTTCCATAGGCTGTTCTGCCAGCGCAAGGGGAGCTTTGTTCTAACGGACAGCTTGTAGATTTGAGCTGGAACATTTTCTAGCCAATCAAGCGTCAGCTTTGCAAGCTGCTCCACAAAATGTAACAAAATGTGACACAATCATTGCACGGCTACGACGATTGCGCCGTCGGCTCCGACATGCTCGTTGCTATCGAATGAAGTTTGTATTATACGCGAGCACGAGGTTGGACATCCGGCACCCGGTCACAGTATAGTCCGTCGATTTGCCGCCTTATGTTTAACAGTGCATTTCTTTGCAGGATTTTTTAGCTTACCGAAATATGACACAGGGGTGCACCTTGAAGTGGGGCCACCTTTCGCATATTTTCTTCGAAGCACGCCACCTATCCATTCTAGCCGCTGCGTGATCACCTCCACCCGGAGGACGTAAGCCTATATTTAGCGTACATTAATGCTTTTATGAAGAATTCTGAACGAGATTGTAGTCAGATTTGTATAGTACTGTTCTATGCCAAGCTCGGTCTTTCTTTCAGTTCAAAAACATAAGACCACGATCTTCACACCGCAAATAAAAATCGGCTTGTTCACGGAAGGCAAATCTTCAAATGGCTAACTCAAAGCAGTCAAACTAACGAAAAGACGAGAAAGTTTCATGCAACGTCCATCCCTGCTCGGCGCATGGCATGGATGCGCACGATCAGTCTGCCTCGTCCGACATGTCCGATCCAAACCCATCTCCTAAATCATTGTTGTCGTCGTCCTCTTCATCTTCGGAGCTCTGGCAGTCCGAGTCACTGATATCGTACCACTGCAGTTGCTCTGAAACGGCAGTCGCCATATCATTGCACTCTTCGAACAGCTCATCTACGACAAAATCAACACAGTTCGTAAGAATCGATGAAAAGACAACACTTCCACAGAAAACTTTGCCGCGAGCTTGTCGTTGCATACTGTACCAGTGATAGCACTGCACACGAAAGGTTCTTGGCCAAAGTTGAGGTGCAACCCGTCGTACGAGTCCAGTCCAACCGCCGGGTACCAATTTTGATGCCCACACTCCACATAAGCGCCATCCTCGCCAGAGATTAACTCGCCATTACTTGTAAAGAATACAAACATTGTCCCTGTTCTTGGATTGATGCGGATTCCGCAACCAACTGTAGAGCCGGACTTGAACACTGGACCAAGCCGACGGCCCTGCTAAAGGAGTTACCAGGTTGTACAGCACAAGTTAATATCGACCTAGATCCTCAAATCGCTACTTTAATACTTCAAAGTAATACATTTTTTGTACCTCAAAAGGAGTGCCGTGATAGTATCGACCGTCATCACCGTGATATCCGTGTGATATCCGTGTCCACCCTGGTTGCTTGCCCACCAGCGGGAACTTCGAGTTCACCAGACCAATAGACGTCATAGCTTCTTGGCCTGAAAGAGTGGGAGCCCTAGCGTGTCGGTGCTGTCGTTTCGACAGACTCAGCTCGAAGTATCCTCCGGGAACCACGCCGACTTGATACACTGGCCGTGTTTGTCCGTGTGCATTGGCTTCTTCTGTTGGATTGCATTGATAGACCGCAACATGAAACGTAGTCGGGAAAGGCATGTTAGCCCGAACACATCGATCATCCCCCAGCATGCCTCCATCCAGAGCAAAGTCGACGGAGTGTGATTCCCTTAACCCTGGGGCATGCAGCGACACAATTCTACCAGAACAGGCGCGTCAGCTTTCAGCCAGATTATTTGTACAGTAGTACAGCAAGATATCTACGCACCGATGGTATGCATCTGTGTAGCCCCGAGCCTTCTGCGTCTCTCTAATGTCAGCAAAGGAAGGCACGGGGACAATTGCGTGGGCCAGCAACTGGAATTTGCGACTCTCAGTGCACGAACTGAAGCAATTCACCCACAACGCTGTCAGTTTTCACGGTCAACAAAGCTGATCAAACATAGCAAAATTACTATTGACCTGGGAAACAGAGTGTCCAATTTTTCGTTCATTTGTAGATGTGCGCCGCTGTCCAGTGGAAAGTTGAGTGCCTCCCAACGGCGGCGAAAGATGGTCTTCCAGATGATTGGAAACCGTGGTACCACATTACGAGCGACCACAGGCGCCGCCACAGTGACAGACTCGACGTCCCTCGGCGCGGCGAAGCTTACAACATGAGCCAAGAGCTCGTCGGAGAGAATAGTCGTCATTCCAGTTAGAGAATCTTGAAATACCGATAAATTTCATTTTTCTGAGATATGATTTTGGAAAGGATTATCAGATTTAAAAGACTACAGAAATTTGCCTGAATCAGGAACGGGGTTTCAACTAATAACCTCGCAATTTTTATAGTCGGGAAAGATTTAGGGAGATGGGATAGTGATGGGCAAGGTACTGACAAAACAATCCAGGCACGACTTTGATTTCAATTTAAAAAATGGCGCGCAGCAGGTGATCCTCCTTCGCTTCAAGCCCTACGAGCCGAACTTCATTCCTACATTTACATTCAAGCTTACTAGCCGACTGCGTCCTCAGCACCCCCATGTCCTCCAATCGTCTCCGCCTCACCTGGTCCGAGAAGGTAGCCATCCTCAAGAAGGCTGCTCGCTCACCTAGTCTGTCGTACAATGAGCTACAGTAGCTGAGTGGGCGGTTGAAGAGTTTGGGCTTCCGACGGCCCCCGGCAAAACGACAATATGCCGTTTGTTCAAATCAAGTGCTGTGCTGCGCGGACGGGACTGAGAAGGGCTGGATGACGAGCTGAATGTACCAACAGTGGCTGGTGACGCTGGATGAGAGAATGCGAGCAGAATCGCAATATTCTACTATTGGTAGATAACGCTTCGCCTCACCATTAGGTTGGTCTCTCTCTAAGCAATGTCCGTGTTGAGAAGCTACCCTCGAACACCACCGCCAAGATCCAGCCGCTGGATCAGGGGGTCATCAATAGCATTAAACGCTACATCTTATCACAAAAAATGATGTTCGCATTGGATCGCCTAGGCGAAGGCCTCGACAACCCGTACAACGTCGACCAGCTAACTGCACTGCTCTGGTGCGAGGCTGCATGGTCTAAAGTTAGCGCTTCTACGATTCAGCACTGCTGGAATCACTCTAGTCTCATTCAAAAGTCGAAGCTTCAATTTATCCTAACTTAATTCAATACATGCACATGATATGATATCATAGTCTGTTTTTAGCGAGGCATTGTCAGCTGATGCAATCTCTTTCTTAATTTATATCAGGCGTTCCTTATTCAGGCAGATTTCTGTACACACTTCAGCAAATGCAACATGCTGGTGCTCCTTATGCTGTGGTCAAACGTCGTCGCTCCAGGACGTTGGCAATGAAGGCGTCGATGCAGTTGCGCCGCACGGAGCGAAAGCGAGCTTTGTTGACGTTTTGGAGCATTTCGCGAGCCACAAGAGCGTTCATCCCAATGCACTCACTAAACAGTTCATCTGAGTCAAGTGACCCGCAGCTCATCGTGTTAATTGCATGCATTTTCCAATAAACTAACTGTACGGAAGCCTTACCGACTATCTGCTCGTGCTTGAGCGGTTGCTGACCGAAGTTTACGTGAATCGTATTCGGAGAGCCCAGACCCACCGCAGGGAACCACTCGTGCTCATTATCGCACGGGATATATCGACCTGATCCAGGGAGGTAACGAGCTAGGACGCAGAGACGTCATATGACAGCCGATTGTAGTGGTAAATAAAACACTCACATGTTATAGTGTTACCATTATGCGTGACGAATACACGCCGGCCATTGCCCTGTGAGCTGCGTCGTATACCACAACCGACCGTATCATTCACGCCGAACCGCGGGGCGTAAGGTTTCCTCTGTGAACCTCAAGCAAAACTGATCAGTATCACTTGAAAAGGTATTTCAACCTAATCCAGTGCACACTTACAGGAAACGCTGAGTATAACTTTCCATTGTCACCATGGTACCCAAACGACGGAGTAATCCATCCTGGTTGTTTCCCCACCAGTGGAAAGCTGGACGGGACTAGTCCAATAGCGGTCATTTCCTCTCTCCCATTCCTCACCGTGTGAGGACTTGGTCGTGACACGGGATCAGAAATGCTGATTTCAAAGTAGCCACTTGTAGTCGCACCGATTTGATACACGAACATTTCTTTCTCGCTCGTAGGGTCTTGCACTCGGCGCTTGAATACCGCGACATAGAGTGACGTTGGAAACGGCACTTTCGAGCGCACGGAGCGATCGTTGCCAAAATGTTTACTATCAAATGTAAATGCTGTCACCACAGCATCATCGCTCTGGCTCTCCGTCTTCTTTTTCTCCAGTGCTACAATTCTTTTCAACACCAAAATCGGCTCCATCAGTATCTACAATATTTTGACAGCTACGAAAGTATATTACCTATGCTGGGTATCTGAATATCCCCGAGATCGCTGTGTCTCTCCAATGTCCATGCCTGACGGTAAATGAGCTATTGCGCGTGTTAGCAATTGGAAGACCCGTGCTTCGGTGCACTCACTTCATCGAATAAAACAGCAAATTGTCAATAGCTCGGACCCCATCACCTTATAAGTGATAAGATGTACTCACCGCGGCAAAAGCGCACGAAGTCGTGCGTCCACCACGAGATTTCTGGCATCCTCTGTCAATGCATCCAGTTGGAAGTTGACTGTCTCCCAATGACGAGCGAATAGGACGCGCCAGATTTTGGGATACTGTGGCAGCAGGTGCAGCGCCACCAATTTGGAGGCCATCGTCACGGATTCCACGTCTCGTTCCGCGGCAAAACTCAGCACCTGCACCAGTAGGGCGTCGTCCAGAGTGAGTAGGTGCGTCTGCATGCTGCCAAGGAGTCGCGAAGAGAAAGAGAAATGTGTTATGTGTACCACACCACTGCAACTTCAACATGGTGCGCACCACATAACGTCACTTCAACTTCCGCAAAATGGCTGTTCTCACGGGCAATTGTGCCACTATGAATTGACGAGGAATGGGAGAGAGGGACGTCTACATGAGCTATTATTTCTAAATGCTGCTGGAGCGAGTGCGCTGCAACTGCGGTAGTTGCTGCACTTTCACGTTTTGCAGGTCCACACGCAACTCACTCGTCTGGCGTTTCGACTTAGCGAGGTCGTCTGTAAGCCGGTGGTTCTGCAGCGCGAGTATGCGCACTTGGTGCTGTAGCTCGATGAGTACGCGATCGTTGGGTAAATGTATCTGAGACGATAAATTGGAGGAGCTGGCTGTAGAAACCCGGATCGACTTAAGCGCTGCGTTGACTGTAAACGCGAGGTCGTCACGAAGGCGAAGCTACAGTGTGTTCAGAACGCGTGTTCAGTGAGAGCTGTAGGTTAGTTATGCGCACACTTTCGTACCTGTTTTTGATGATCAATTTGTGTTGGCAGTGGGTTAGACTGGTCAGAACTCATTGAGGTGGATATGACAACCTTGATACAAATCAAAACGACGAAGCTAGTTAGTGCCATTGCCACTGGTACTATCCACTTTACGAATAGTACCTCAGCACTAATGTCTGTAGTGGCGTAGCTGGTCCATACAAGTGCCGCTAGCTGCCAATACACCATCATCCGCATGAGTTCATGGCAAACAATTCAGACTGCTGCAGTGGCTCACCCTCCTCTTCTTCCTCTTCGAGTCCGGGTCAATTTTAAAATTCTTGTAGTGCTCCTCCAAAACGTGACGTTGTGTATGGTGCTTCAATCCGATGTATATCTTGCTCCGCTCTGTTTTCATTCTCTTCGCAGTCTGTTGATAAATATCGTTAGATATGTTTGTGATCGCAAAAACAGTTTCCTCACTTACAACTTCTTTAATAGTTTTGTGTGGACCCCGCGCTTTCGGGCTCATTATGTTCTTAAATGCAGCAAAACCCGATCCACGGACCTCATTCTGCTTCCCTGTGTCTTGCGGATTCACGTCAGAGTACCGGCACCTATCTGTAACATCTGGAAACATTTTTCCTTCAGAGAAATATGTGTTGAGCCGGGTTTCTTCTTCGTGGTAGACCTATGCAACGTCGTGATCAGACACAAGTTAGTGAACCTACCGGATAGTTCGCATGATATTACTAAGTATCACCCCGATAGTAAAGAAATTTGTCCGGTTGAATGTGAGCCAGAACTTGGATCGATATAGCAGTGGTGTGTCACATCGATCCCATAAATCGTAAACCTTTCGGCGGGCCTCTTCGAGCATCCCTGTCTTCCACCTATTAAGCACGTTAGAGAATATATTCTCAGCCTACACTGATGCAAATGTACTACTTACTTAGTAGTCTGCTTCCGCGACAAAAAGCCTCGGATGCGGCACTGAGCCCGAACAACTTGAAATTTCAGATTCTTGTAGCTGCGTTTAATGACGCTTCCACGCCTTAGTGCTTGAAGACGATGGAAGCCTCTGTACACACGTCGATAGCGCGCATAGACGACATAGCCCCTCGCCATGAATTGAAGCTGGCGCAGGGCCTCACGTTGTTTTCGATACTTCAGCACTGCGTAATGCGTGCGATAGATTTTCTGAATCATGATCGCTCCGTTCCGCAGTGCTAAGAACTGCTGTCGATCATCCTTTCCCTGCAGCAGGACAATGCTTTTAGTGCTTCTTTTATCATTGGCTCGAGAAGACTGACTACCACTCCTCACCTTCATTCGGGCAATCACCCATCTTTGAATCGATACGACAGCGTTTCTCTTCCTGCGATATTTCTTCCGAGCACTGTACATTCGGAATTGTGTCTGAAGCTGTTTACCGTGGTGATAGTGCATCTGTTAGTCTGAAGTATGAACACTTATCAAGCAAATAGCAGACCTACACTGATGATAAGCTGGCGCGTGGCTTCCCAACTCGAACCACTGCCCACAAATGACCTGATGTATCCAGAATAAGTATATAGCTTAGCAGAGTGTTTCGACAGTAAGACTTCGTGTTCTCGTGGAGCTTACTTTGCTGTGTTGAACATGCCGTGGTGAAAACTCACTCGAGATACATTACGTTGTTGTTCTCGAGAGCTGTAAAGCTCACGGGGCTTTCTCACGTTACCAAACAGGTTCCTAGAAACCCACAAACTGTCAATACTGACCGTCGCATATTTCAAGAGCACCAAATGCTTACTTTTTCAATCGTGGGAAAGATTTATACTACAAACGTCATGTGTGAGAAAGGGAAATGTCCAGAGTATTGAAATTAAGGTAACAACGCACCTTGTAGATTGTGCCATCGTCTGGAAGACCAATGTTTGAAGGTGGTGGGGCAATAAATGTTTCTTGAATTTCATCCGAGCGATCCTCCAAGAAGCTGCAGTCGTATTTCTTCTTACCGATTGTCAAGGAACGGTTTAGCTTTTGATTAATTGACTGGTCAAAGAACAGCACTTCCGGAAGCTGAGGACTAAAGACCCGATCCTCAATAAAGCGGTCGAACATTTGTGTCCCAATCAGCTGAGCAACAAAAGGACGAGATGCAGCATCGAAATTGTCTTGCAGGAACCGCTTGCTGTCAAACAACGCTGATATCCCTGATTCTCCTTGGACAGCCCGTTGCTATAAAGCATAGGTGATTGATTAGCACTAACCTTCGCGGTAGCATCATCGCATTACTTACCAAATAGTTTGCATATTTCTTGAAAAGCGTGACAAAGAATCGTAAAAATGCTTTACGGATCCCCTCAGTTGAAAACTTTTCTGTTTCGTTGTATTGACTGTCAGTGAGCCCTCCGCTGGCATCGTTCCCAGTTGCAGATACAGCCACTGTCGATGCAGAAAAAGTGTGTCGATTCAGGCTACCCGAACCGGTTCGTGAAAATGATGTTGAGGAAGCTGGGGACAGCGATGACGAGGGCAGACTAAATGCTGCACTCGACCTTCTCCCGCGCTTGATCTTGCCTATCGAATAATGGGAGTTGAGAGAGTCCGACATGCACGACTCCGAATAAGACGTTGACAGGGGGATAGTTTGCCCGTGATCGGAGGCGAAGTTGCCAATAGGTTCGAGGTGTTCCTCGTTTGGAAAGGCCTACAGGAAAAGCAGCACTGGTTTAACACCCCTTGAGGTATTAGAAAAATTGAAAGTACGAACCAGATCTACTCGACTGATGCCTGCAGCGTACGGGTCGAATATCTACAAAAAGTGATCAACACGGTCGGTGTGTTTCTGCCTTGCAATAATGAGTCATTCACGAACTTCAACGTACACTAGCTACTTCGGCCAGTTTCGCACGGAGTTTAGATCCTTCTCGATCAGGAATCTTTGGTACTAAAATGTTTTTGCCTGAGTCATCCACAGCAGGGATGACACTGTGATAGGCAGCATGACACAGCAAGCGTCAGTCATTACAAACTAACAAACATTATAAGCAGTACGGTGCAACAATCTAACCGATTGTGATCCAAGTCGACAAAGACAACGTTGGTGGATCGACCAACTACTTGCTTAAGACAGTCTGCGTGGGTGCCAACTAGGAAAGGGACAGGTGCCTATATCGAAGTCCAGAATTCGTTAATCTCGGTCTCCATATCTGTATTTGGCACTCACGTCAATGACATCAAGAAGTGAGGTCGGGAGGACAGGAATGTAGGCCCCTTGCCATGAAAAGGGTAGTAAAGTGGCCAAGAGCGCCTCCGCTACAGGCGTGAGCAGCCCAATATGCTTAGAGCACAATACGACCTAAGGCCGGCAATATCTTATTAGTACAGCTCGTTTCGTGCATCTTAGAAGCGATATTTAATACCTTGAGCTCCAAAGCTACACACGAGAAAACCAGCAGCACGTTGTTGATGTCCAGAACTTGGAAAAGAGGTCGAAATGGGAACTGGACGATGCGCATGGTACAATTTAGCCAGAATCCAGTAGTGAATCTAAAGGCCACTGCTTACATCGGCAAGAGGAAGCTCATTCTTCGGAGGGCGAGAAATAACCAGATTGCGATCCGGCAAGGTTAACTGGACTTGTATCTGACCGGGTGGTGGCAGCGGGATTTCCACCAAAAAGTTCGCAATATATCTTTCGATTGGCATCGGCGATTCCGATAGCGTCACTCGATAAATCTAGCAAGACAATCGATACACAGTCAATCTTTGGTAAGTAACCCGCGGCATTCGGATAGGCAATACCTGCTGCAGAAATTGGCGAAATGCTGAAAAGTACGGGTAAAGCGACGTTACTACAATGCCCTTCGGACAAAATACCGGCCCCGGTGCGCTTGCCGCATCTCCTGATAGATCTTGGACCCACTGCGGAAGCTGAGTACGTTGGTTGTCATCTTTCTCGTCAAGTTGGTGGGGGACATTTGATGGTCGTCGACGGTGGCGCTGGCGGTGATAGTGCGGTGCTATTAAGGATACAACTTCGAGTGGATGTAGTTCCTCATAAAACTTCAGTGCACATGCGTAAATCTTGACTCCACTCATGTTTGTGAGGACAAACGAAAAGAATACGGGGGCGACGTAGGACTTGCTCAGCACAAAACCCTCTGGGAACGCGAAATCGGCTAGATGTGCGGGTAGAGGCGCGTCTCCATACAAGTCTGGAAACATATCAAGCACAGCCGGAAGGAATCGTATTTCTGTCGGGCTCTTCGTTTTCTCAACTGCACACAGTTGAAGTGGATACATTTCAATACACTTTCGAGATGGAAACAAGCAAAAAAAACACTGCTGAGATTGGTGTACGTACTGTTTTGGTCTGGAACTAAAGCGCCGCGACCCACGACGACAAAATAGTTAAGTAAGCGCTTTTTCACTTCCACAACATTACCAGCCTTCATCACAGTGGGCCCTGCACTTTGCACCGTCCGACCGGGACTTCCTTGCTGATTTGCCTCCGCCGGCCTACCAGGAGAGGTTGAAAGAGTTGGATCCTCCGGATTTTCTGGGCAATCATATTTTTTCTTTTCGATCGTAACCGGCAATTTTGTAAACTGCTTGGCCTCGTACTTCGCGCGGATGTATTTCTCGCGCAACTCTGTGGCTGCACTTGGCAGCAACTTTAGTGATGAGTCCACCCCAAGCCACTCGTCGAGGTGTTTGCTGTAGATCTCCTTGACGCTCTTGTTGCCACCCTTCATCGCTGCAACTTCCTCGTCTGTCCATGTATCGAGATGAAGCGACTTGACTCTCGATAGCTGAACGCCAAGCTTGCGGTGAGAACCCGCGCAATGAATGCACAGGAACGCACCGACCGTTGTACTGGCCCAGATAGAGTCGTTCAGACGCGACGTGCAATCTGCACAGCTCTGATTCTCCGAGCTCGAGTGCATCATCTCCGTCAGCTTCCGAAAGGCTTGCTGCTGCACCACTGGCGAGTGGTTCGTGCCATTTGGGCGCGAGAACATCATCATGGCCGCCTACCCACTACGAACCTTGACCCCCTCCCCGAAAATGTGTCAAGGCTCAAGGACAGCAGACTGAAAATGCCTCCGTAATAGGCCAAGTCACATCAACTATTATTATCCCGCCAGAATCACTCCCGCCCTGCGTCTGAAACCGCTCATCACTGCAGATTAAAACGTGCCAACCGCGGCAAGATCATGCTGGAGGCGATCATGCGCAGAGTGAATGTGCGACTGCATCTTCGTGCTCAACACAAAATAATGAGGAAATGTAGCGCGAAGGTTGCTGCAAAAGCGGTTCATCTTAAGACCTTTCCCTATCTCGGTTCACTGAACCGTGATGGCCTCCGACGGACCGAGTGACCCGAATGAGAGAGCCAATCAGGTGTCGAAGCGCACGATTGGTTGGCCCTGGGAAGCGCTTTTGGCTGCCTCAAGCCTCGCGCCGCCAACAGTACGGAACTGCACCAAAACTCCCAAGAAAAGCAAACATGGGCATGTAAGTAAAAAAAGGATCGTGTAGCGACAGGCAGACAATGGTCGCCTTCACTCGCTACGCCTAGTGCTGCGTGCTTCGGATCATCAGGATGAATGTGGCAAAAGAACAACGTGTGGAAAGAAAACTTTATTGCGATGAAGGAGGGTACACATCTGAGGCTGAGGCACATGGCAGCAGTGAGCTAGCGGGCGGAGGCGACAGGAACACAGCAATAAACAGGAAATTGTAGACAAGATACTGACGCAGGCCTGTGCTGCTGTGTAGTGTCAAGAACGGAAAGGTTGTTGTGTTGCTTAACGGCCGCTTCGCTGGCCGCAAGGCTATCGTCGTGAAGACGTTCGACGAGGGCAAGGGTGACCGCAAGTTCAGTCACGCCATCGGTACGGCCACAGCAGATATTGCAGGCTCGTTTAGACAGGATCAAGGCTGACACTTGGTGTTTGTCAATTTACAGTTGCCGGCATTGACCGCTACCCGCGCAAGGTGACCCGCGCCATGGGCAAGAACAAGCTCAAGAAGCGCACCAAGGTCAAACCGTTCGTCAAGTACGTCAACTACAACCACATCATGCCCACCCGTTACGTGGCCGACATCGACCTGAAGAAGGTCCTTGACGACGAGGTGCTGGCCAACCCGGAGTCCCGCATCGAGTCCCGCAAGACCATCAAGAAGGTGTTCGAGGAGCGGTACGTTTTTTGCCTCAGCATATTGCAAATGTAGTGCTTTGAAGAGAAATACTGACGACATTTCTGTTGACTTTACAGCTACCTCAACCAGGCCGCGTGCAAGTCGGAGAAGAAGGCTGCTGGTGTCAGCTTCTTCTTCAAGAAGCTCCGCTTCTAAGTGCAATCAGTTGTTTGCGTCTAGAGGCTGGTGGGAATCGGGGTATTAACATAAATGCAGCCCATTCCAGTTCCGTTCCGTTCGGGGGAAACAATTTATGAACCTGTTGTGTATTTTTCGACCGCGTCCAGTCCCGCAGGCCTAAAGCCAGTTACGACCAGCGAGCAGTTCATCGTCGTCTTCGGTATGAAGCTCCGCTACGTCGGACTTCAATGACAAAGTCATCGTCTGCATCTTGATCGCTTTCAGACTCGCTACTGCTCTTATTGGGGTCGATCATCTCGATCCTCTTTCTTTCGGCAAATATCCGTTCACATTTGCTAAGTCTGCCACCCGCTAGAATTCGTCGTGCACGCTCATTGTACTTGGTCCTCATCTCTCGAGAAACGGACCGACATGAGTCCACACGCACTAAGCAAAGACGACGGCATTGAGCTTCAAGTACACGTAGACTTGTATCTGTCACAGGTGTGCCCTGATGGAATATGAACGTCAACCGTGGGGAGAATGTATTTACTGACTTCGCTACGAACCTTCAGGTCGACAAGCTCCAAACTTGAACATCCTTCTGACACGTCGGACGTTGCAAGAGCAGTGACTCCATCATCGGAAATAGCACGACAGTCCTAGAATGCAGTGTTTGTTGGGTCTGAGTTAAAGTGCTTTGATGCAAATACATTCTAGCAGGATCTAGCAATGGAATCTCTTCGTACCTGCAGGGAAAGGTAACGAAGTGACGGAGCGACTTGAGATATCCGTCGCAAGCCATCGTCGTTAATTTTCGTCCTGTCCAAAATAAGTACTTGAAGCTGAGGCAAACTTGTAGCATTCTGTTGGCCAGATTAAGTGAGAATACAGTCCAGTACGGAGTGAAACGCGAACACACCGGAAACGAGGAGATACCGCGGCAGGATGACAGGTCCAACCAGCGCAAGGAGCCCCACAGAGCTTCTGTCAAGACCTGGAGATCGCGGAGCCGTATGCTAGTGCAATTGCTATCCAAGAACAGCAATGTCGAGCAAGTGTTAGCAGCGAGGCACGCGGCGTATCGCACACCGAAATGACCCAGCGCAACGCACCTTAATGTCATTTCCTCTAGCTTCCCAGCATGCCTAGCGAGGTCTCTAAGAATTTGTGAATCCAGACTCGTTGCTTCTGTAAAAGTGAAACAGAGCAATGTCAGGATTACGATGTAGAATTCACCAACATTATCCGTCGTTATAAAGACATTCAGCGTACCGGTCAGAATGATCTTTTCCAGCGTATTCCCACAAACTTTGACCAACGAGCTAGCTGCTTGGTTGGTGACAAAATTGCACCCGTTGAGGTACACTTCGCGCAGCGCCACCCCATCGCGTGGCCAACCGCTCAACGTCAAGGCACGGCAGTCCAGCAGCTCTAGAGTCTACACAAATCCACACTCTATAATCAGTTATCAAAGCAAAGACACTGAGATGTGATTCACAGCAGCACATGGAGCATTACCGACTTTGAGATTGGGGCAGTGCTTCAAGATGTTGAAGATGTGTTTCTTCTGCATCCTTTGCAGCATGGATACAGTGGTTAGAAACGATAGCAACTGGATGTACTCGAAGAAGATGTCACCAGCCGCACCCTACGACGGTACACACCTGTGTGCCCGGAAGACGCAAAGGTTTTGCTGCTGCACTACGAGCTCAATAAGCGCATCGACTAGCGTGATGTCGGGCAACACAAGTCGCGTTAGCTGCTGGTTGGCACGCTCAAGCATCGCACTGACGTCGCGTCTCAGCAACGGCCGAGCCATAACATGACCGAAGTCGAGCTCGGTGACTGGTAGTTCCTCCCGAATCAGTCGGTGCCAGCGTCTGCACACAACTTCGACACGCAGACGGTCGGGCACGACAGGTAGGAACTCAATGATGGAACGCACGGCCACTTCGTAAAGCAACGAAACCTTCGTTCTCGTAGCTGCAACAGACGAATATCAGACACTGCGGTAGCTTTCAGCAAAGAAACATCCACTCAAGTGGTTCGCCGCCCACCGGTAACCGCAGTTCTGGCCCCATTCTTCTGTTTCGTATTTGCTTTGGCTACAAGGCGTCGGCGCTGGAGTATCCTGGCAAGTGGGACATCGTCTCCATCATCTGAATACTCATCTTGTTTTCTAGCGCTCGGCAGTGGTGCTGTCGAGCGCTTCTTGCCAGCCATAAAGCTTAGAGACCTGGGATGGAAGAACTGTAGCCGGGCGGAAGATTAACTTTCGGTGTCTAGTGTTCATTTTTAAAGTGTCGGGTCAAACAAGTGTACTACTGTACATGTACACCGGATGGAAATGATGACGGTTGGTGGCACGTGTAGAAACAAAAATACAAAAAACTGTACTTTATCGCTTTTGTTTTTTTCTTATAGCATCTTTAATGAGATTTCCACAGATTCTTGCCTTCACATGCGCACAATACTGACAAAACGTGCTGGATACGCTGCAATGGCTACAAGTTTCATTTTTTTCGTGCACACAATTCGGTGAACTGCACTGCAACGTTGCTCACCGAGCCCACGAGCTCCGTTTCTAAGCACAGCCTCTAAAATAACCGATCAAATCACCACAATATTGATGTGCAACAGTTGCGAAGAGGAAGATGCTGCCGCGGTTGTATACAAGTCGCTAACCGGAAGTGGTCATGGCTGATCGCTGTTTGTCAGCTGACGTTCTTTTTAAACTTACATAATATACTTGCTGCGAGGAGCAGTTTTTGCGACTCAATTGCAATTTGCTGTTCCTCGCCACAAACTCGCTACTAGCGCGCCACAAACATTTATAAAATGCCATCGTAACCAGCCAACAAAAAGATCCCTTATGTGAAGTAGCGACTCGCTACTTCAAGCAAGCGGTTTTCCTGTTGACATGTATCCAACGAAAGACTGTAGTCCGAGATCGTTTTTTTTTCTTCTGAAGCGCCCAATTTGCAGCTATAATAGCACTCAAGTGTCACATTGTGACTCACTGTGCTTGAATTGTTCGCGGCCTGCTGCAGATAAAACTACAAACATCTAGCTCGATACAGGTTTTTAAATGCTCAGCGTCGTATTTGCCGTTGCAATTGCAGTCACCGCTGTCGCAACAGAAGCGCGTGATGATCATATTGGGTGTCTACCGCCCAAACGATGGGGAGGTGGTCCGGCTGGTAGTTAATTAGAGGGGTAGGTCCCACATAAAGTCGCCAAAATAAAACGCTGACTCCCACTGACTACTGTCACATCTGCATCATGCGATCTGTCAGGCCCACACCGTGTGGCACACGTGCAGTCGGGGAATCGCCTTCAGTATCCGAGAGCCGCAAGCGTCCACACGGCAACAAGCATCGATTACGTAGCTCAGTCGCCTCATCGTCACCGAGTCTCTTAAAACGCTTCTTTTACATCGGTCGCCAGGAAGGCAGCTGCAGTCACTAGCTCTCTCCATCAGCACAGGAGCGTCGCTCGTTTCCCCGCCTCACCACCGCGTTTGACGGACTAAGGCGACGACCATGGTAAATTTCTCGATGGACAGCAACGTGTTGGACTCACCCGCGGACTCGCTGGACCTGCGTCAGCCGCCCTCGGGCTACACTGCCAACGGAGACAGCAGCCGCGGCGAGAGCAAGTTTTTTGCTCTCAGCATGAGCGGAACCAACATGGCCGGCAAGCCGTCACAGCTCGCCACTCCTTTCGTATACGGCACGCCCGTAGACAAGACCTACAAGACGTGGCCTTTCCTTACTGTCGGCCTGTGTGCGGCAATGGTTGTTTTCGGCATCATCTACCACGAGCTGCCCGAGTACCGTCTAGGCTTTCGCTACCAGCTGTACGTTCTCTTCGGCTCGACCGTCGAGAACGCCAAATGGGTCGGTGGACACCGTGAAATCGTCGAGTTTGTCGTCAACTACATGCTCATCGGACTGCCGTTCATGATTGGTGGCATGGCGCTTGCACTAGGAGATGCACTGCCGCCTGTGCCGACGGGAGCACACCGGACAGTCATGCGCTTCCTCAAGCGCAAAATATACGTCGGCACCATCAACATTTCGTACGCCGAGTCTATTTGCACACTGGTGTTCCTCGGACTGAACGCCATTTGGTTCTCCGCCGTATTCTCGCGCAACTACGACGCCCTCGTAGAGGCAGATTCCACCGATTCGGCTTCAGTCTTCCGACTCGTAGGTCAGGTCCTTGGCTTTAACGCCATCTTGTGCTTTTCTCTGCTGATTATCCCCGCGACTCGTAACTCGTTCTGGATGATTTCTATGGGCATCGACTACTCCCACGCTATCAAGTATCATCGATGGATTGGGTTCTTCACTGTCACAATGGTGGCACTTCACGCCATCCCGTACTACTACGCGTGGTTCAAGAGCGGCACGTTCCTTGAGTCAGCCTTCCCATGCATGGACTGCGACTACGGAACGGTGGGCAAGGGGCGTCTGCAGAACTTCTGCGGTCAATTAGCGCTGCTGTGCTGCATCATCATCGGCGTCACGTCGCTAAGTCCGATCCGTCGCAAGTATTACGACGTGTTCTACTACTGCCACCATCTCTTCATCCTCGTGCTCTTCTTCAGTGCTCTACACTTCTCGCAGTTCGTCATTTGGATGTATCCTGCTGTGTGTCTCTATGTCATGCACCGCATCTTGGCTCGCAGCCAGAGCCGCATGCCGTGCGAAGTCGTGGACTTGGAAGCCATCCCCGGTGAGATCACGCGTCTTGTATTCCGTCGCTCACCAGGCAAATCCGGTCACTACCATGCTGGCCAGTTCGTGTACCTTCGTGTCCCGCTACTGTCACACACGCAGTGGCATCCGTTCAGTATCAGTTCATCGCCGATCGAGTACGAGGACACGTTCACTGTTCACGTCAAGTGTATTGGTAACTGGACCAAGTCACTGTATGCCGTCGCTATTCAGGCGCGTGAGGAACGCAAAATGCCGCTCATCTACGTTGATGGCTTCTATGGCAAGATGTCCGACGACTTCCAGCACTACCCAGCTTTGGTTTTTGTGGCTGGTGGTATTGGCGCTACTCCAGTCATCAGTATCGTGGGTAAGATCCTGGACTGCATGCGCAACAACGACCCGAACATGGAGTTCACTCAGGTTTATTTCCACTGGACGTCACGTGAGATCGGTATTTTCCACGAGTTCGAGCCTCTGTTGGATGCCATCGAGCAATATGACCCGGACCACATCAAGTTCAAGGTTCGTCTCTGCTTCACGGGTGACCAGCACTTAGGAGGCGTGGATATTCCCAACGGTATTACACTCAAGCCTATGGACGATACGAGTATGGTGGCTACTCGTCCGTTCTTCCAGTCGTCGCGATCGGTTCCTCGTCAGATGCTGCTGTTCTTTGTCACGTTCACGTGCAGCTTCTGGTGTCTGTTCCTCATCCGGTTAAACTACCCCATTTTGGGTGACCTGCGCGTCAACCAGAACATGTGGCCCATGCAGCGTGTCGTGGAAGTTCTCATCATGATTGCTGGTGCTGCTGCGGGCTGGGCTGTGGTGTTTACGGAGCCCACGCCTCGATCTATGAGCCGATTGGAGAAGTCTCGTATGATGCCTACTTTAGGAGGCTATGGGCCGCAGGAGACGATGGCCAATGTCGCCCGTGGTTCAGAGTACTCGCACTCGCTCTCGTTCGACGGCCAGGAAGTCGAGTTCCACTATCCTGTGAGTCGCTCACGGCTGAACGTGAAGGAACTATTCAACGAAATTGTGAAGGAACAGTCGCACAACTTTGCAGTCAATATTACGGGCATTGGCACGTGGGTATCAGGCCCCATGGGTCTCATCCACGCCGTGGAGACGGAGGCCTCCAACTTTGCCGGCATCTTCGATGTGCACTATGAGGAGTTTGAGATGTAGAACTACCCAACAGCTTTGCCTAGTGCGTATGTGTTGTATCGCCCATCGTTTGTCCGCTTTCGTCGTTGAATACCAATAAGTAAGGAGTTTTTCGAAAAGCGTCGAGCACTTGTTCGTTGCATATATCTCTCACCACGTAGTAAAAACTGCATTATTCCAAAGTGGTTTGACAAGCTTGTTGCCGTTGCCGAAACCAGGAAAGCAACCCAAGACAGACAGCAAAACACCTGAAAAGATACTTAAGTAAGAGTCAAAGGAAGAAAAGCAACGCGTCCGATGTGTGTTGTCACAATCCCTCTTCGTTGTCATTGGGCTACCGAAGCTAGCTTGATGACGTCGCACGAGCTACTTAAACCTTCGCACAGACGCACTTAAACGCGGCTGGGGTACAGCATGACACGCACGCTCTTGCTGATGGCCTCGGCCGGCAGGTTCTTGGCGAACTTGGCACGCACGACGCCGTTGCTGCCGTGAGCACGCATGACCTTGCCCCAGATGACGCGGAACTGGGTGCCGTTCTTCAGGGACTTGCCCTTGTAGATGTAAGCGATCTTCTTGCCCAGGTAGAAGTCCACGTCCTTCTTGTCCGTCAGGCCCTGAATCTTGACCAGCGCCGTGTGCGAGTACTGGTTGCGCAGGCCGCGCTTGTAGCCAAGGAACACACCCTTGACGTAGAGACGAGTAGGCTGACCGGAGGAAGCGACCATTGTAACGAGGTTCTGCAACAGGCACCAACAACCAGTAAGTTATCTCTGCATTTTCAATAAAACTTTCATGAGCCATCCGCCGTCGAAGAGCCTGTATGTCCGTCACATCCTCTTATAGCCCAGGAAGTGAGAGAGAGAGAATGGAACCTGTCTGTATAGCGTCCTGTGGCCTGTGTGTCTGGACAGTAGTGCTGAGCTGCGTAGCGTAGAAGTACAGTGTTCTCTCTCTCTCTGGGTGGACAGCATGAAAGAGATGATGGAGGCGGGCAGGGCCTCCAAGACGACGGTGGCATGGAATCCAAGAGCTCCCCACGTACCAGTTGAATGAATTGAACGAGCGAGGGACTGAAGGTTTTGCGGCGTCAAGTGCAGTGGACTTGGGGCCCAATCGATTGGCGGCCAACGCCCAGTGGTGAAGACCTGCAGAAGTCAATATTACCCGCTTAAAGTGATCACCTTAGATGGGCAATGTATCGAATCCATGAGCTAGGATAGGACAAGGGTACATGTTTTAACAGTTAGTTACAAACACTAAGTGAACGTTGCATGCTGGGTAGCCTACACTAGGCCATCCAGATTAGTGTGGCACACAAAGCTAAAAGATAAGTCCACAAACGGCAACTTCAACGTCCTCAATACAAAATGCCATTGGCATTGGGATGTCTATTTATCGGTGTTGTTCTTTTTGGCAAAAAACGTTGGCGCCAGCTCCACAAGCCACTCCTTTTCAATTACAAGCACCGACCGAATATAGTGCTTGCTCGTGAACACCAGCTCGTTGTACACCACCCACTTGGGCGGCGGGTTGCGCATGAACAACGACGATGACGGGTGCACCTTAACGATCTCCGAGCGTCCGCACATGGTCTTGTACGCCGTCTTGGATCCACCCAGACCCTCAGCGACGGACCGCATTGCTGTATTGAGGAAGAAACCGGCCACAATGCTCTTACGCAATGGGTCAATGTCAGGGAAGCTCGTGTCGATGGGCAGCTCCAGCTTCTCCAAGTAACCTTTAAGCTGCAATCTCACGCTCTCCACACGCGTCATGGCGCGATGGTTAATGTAGTGGTCACGACACCACTTGTTGCGCTGTTTCGAGCCGCACTGAATGTACCCATTGAAGACGTTCAGCAGTGTGATCTGATCACCTTCGTACGCGACGAACCGAGCACGGGACTGCGCTGCCTCTGCCTTTTTGTCGCGGGGAGAGTAAAAGATCGACTCAACAGACAACATAGCCACGACACTGAGCGCTTCTTCAGCACAGCCCAATTCCGTCGCCTTCAAGAGCATCACAGCGTACATGGGCTCCACGGGAAGACCAGCCATTTGTCGACCAAGCGTGGTCAACTTTCCCTTGTTATCCAGTGCACCCAGAGCGTACAGTTTCTCAAGAGCCTTGACAAGAGACGTCTTGAGAGGTTTTTCAATGAAATCAAAGGCCAACGCATCGTCAATGCCCATGATTTTCAGCTGCAACACCACGACCTCCAGACTGACGCGTTGGATATCAGGAATCGCCCGCTCTGGAAGCTGTTCGAATGTCTCTTCCGGGAACAACCGGTAGCAAATGCCGGGAGCCTCTCGACCAGCGCGACCTGTACGCTGCCACGCTTGAGCTTTCGATACCGACTCGGTCTGCAGCATTTCCATACCGCTCGAGGCAACGAACGAGCGTTGCTTGACAAGCCCCGTGTCTACGACATAGCGGACGCCGTTGATAGTAATTGAAGTCTCTGCAATATTCGTGGCTAGAATCACCTTGCGCACTCCTGCAGGTGCCGGTTCAAACACCTTCATCTGTTGCTCACGCGGCATAGCAGCAAAAATTGGACACACCATGAGCTTCAATGCATCGGCGGGTAGTGATCGAGCGTACTCTTCCAGCAGCGTCTCCAGCGTTTCAATATCTTCCTGGCCTGTCAAGAACACCAGGATACTGCCATTGCTCGTCTTCTCCTCTAAATGAATTTGCAGCACTGCAACCAACGCCGAGTCTAGATAATCAGGCTGGGTTTTGGCTGTGTAGAACACATCGACTTGGAACATACGGCCGGGAATCTGAATCACCGCCGGCTTAAAGTCCTGAAAGAATCTCTTGAACAGCGCCACATCCAATGTAGCAGACATGACCACTACCTTAAGATCTTTACGTTTGCGCATGGCGCGCTTGACAATGCCAAACAAGATGTCCGTCTGCAGTGTACGTTCGTGGGCCTCATCCAGCACTACCACCGAGTACCTCTCGAGCGTGGGGGACAGCAGCGCTTCTCGTACCAACATACCGTCCGTCATGAACTTGAGTCGCGTGTTCTTGGACGTCGTGTCGTCGAAACGGACGCAGTAGCCGACGGAGTCGCCCAGAGGTCCGCGGTTGGCCTCTTCACACACACGTTGAGCCACCGTGATGGCGGCGACGCGACGTGGCTGCGTGATGGCTACACGTGCATGAGCACGATCGCTCTCCCAAATATACTGCGGGATCTGCGTCGTCTTACCGCTTCCCGTCTCGCCTACAAGGATCACCACTTGATTGTCATTAACTGCCTCGATGATTTTACTGCGGTGTGCGTAGATGGGGAGGCGCTGGCGAGTGCGTTGCAGCTCCGAGACAGCAGGATTGGGATTAATAGAGCGGTGTTGATGCTTCTTGTGCTGTTTAAATCCTGGGCGTGATGTCTGCATTGGACGCTTGCGTTGCGCGCCATGGTGCTGACCGTGGCTTGGAATTGTCATGCTCGATTGACTGGAGGTTAGTGGCGTTACTGAGACCAAGTGAGTTGAAATTATAATTCGGAGCCATGTGATTGGATGAAATTGAACCGGCTAGCATAATTGACTTCAACGTGAGTTTTTAAGCTACTCGACTGCTGTTTGAATTTTAGTTTGCTCTGTGCTCACATCCGACCTTTGCGGCCCATCGAGTGCATACGCTGCTTGGATGGTGCTCTGCTCAAACAGATCGTTTCATTAATCAAAACTATGCACGCTTATTAACATATACAGTAACAGGAGGACTTACCCTCGTCGAGGTCCAGCCTCCGCGTACAGAGCAAAGTCTTCGCCTGGACGGAGACCAGCGCCACTAGAAGCAAAGCCCTTGCCACGCTCACTTGCTCGGGAAGCAATTTTAGTTCGAATGCCTTCCTCCCTCGTCTTTTCGTCCTCCTGCTGCTTCTCCGCCAATCTGCATTCGAATAGCAAGTCGCAGCAAAGCAATAAACATGATCAATTGCGTGAGTCAAACATAGCAGCAATCAACAGCATGGCGTACGTGAGAATGGTGTTAATCTTCTCGCAGATCTCAACAGATTGTTCTTTCCAAGTCGTGAGCTTCTGAATCATGTCGTCGATATATTCGTGGCGCGTATCGCGTCCTACCGCATATTTGACGACGAAGCATCGCAACTTCTGGTCCAGTTTGCCTTGAATCAATCCCTGGTAACGGGCAGAATGCACACCAAAAGATTTGTAAAGAGACCGAACTCCACTAATACAAGCCTGCCTCGCAATTCATACAGAGTAGATAGTGTCGATGAGGATATCTTCCACTTCGCGCACCGTCGACACATCGAGATCCTGCATCAACGTGTCGTACGGGATATTCTACAAACATCAAGACAAGTAAACCTCCACTTCTAATCACTCAAGTGCCAGATACAATTTCACTACCTTAAATCTAAGTGCGAGAGACACCACCGTCAGTTTTCTGAGCTTGTTCACTTGCTGCGGCGTGAGTTCAGGCAGCTCGTCCTTGCGGGCTGTCATAACCCGTTAGTCAACCCGTTACCTCCATCCACGTACAAAGCACCCACTTACCCACGTAGTCGTTGTACGTGCCAAAACTGAAGATGCGCAGCAGCTCATAGTGTTCCTTGTGCTCCGAGTCCTGAAGTGCCTCCACATTGGGCATGTCCAACAACTCGCGGAACACGAACAGTTTCTTGTTGCTCAGCACCTGCTGAATTAGCGCCACACACGCCCGACCACGCGCATTTTTAGCCAGTAGCGTAAACTGCTCAAGACCCGCCGCTCCAGCTGCATCGAACGCCATTATCGCCACCCGACTAGCACTTTCTCGACAGATACAGTATGAAGTGGCAAATCTGTCAAAGCTGTTTTGGAAAGATTGATTCCGTTGATGTTGAAAACACGACATAGAGTCGGTCATTTCAACACACTTTCTAACAGTTGGCGCGCTTTTTTAGAAACGCTGACCTGCAACAATGGACGCGGAGTTGGAGGCAAACATCCAACAGGCGCTGCCGAGCGCGCTCAAGATGGCGCTGTACGCAGCCAAGAAGCAGCACCTGGACCTGCTTAAATACACTATCGAGGGCGCGGACTCACTGTGCAACAATGCGGTGTTTCTCAAAGACCTGGAGGACCAGGAACATCTACAGCAATTGGGCGAGACAGCAAAGGGCTTCGCCGTGCTTCAGACACAGCTCACACGCTACAAGACACAGCTGGAAAAGCTGGAACCGCTTGTGGAAAGTGGAAGACTTGACCAGAAGAAGATCGACAAGGTGCTCAATGACGCACTGGTCACGCCTCGCGTCAACGTCACCAAACACGACTTCTACAAGAAATTTTGCGACCGTGCAGGGGTACTACATGTACCAATAATTCCAAGCCGAGTAGATGTGTTTTGACCAATTGAATTGTACATTTGCAGATTGAGCTGGCGGCGGATGGAGATGACGACGTATTTATTCAGGAGAGCGAGAGCGTCAGGAGCACGATTTGTCCTGTGACGCAGATGGAGATGGATGACCCTTTGCGAAAGTATGGAGTGGCTTGGAATAAGGCTATTGTTGATGGGGATTCTGACTATGTGGTTACTGTTATGAAGTCCGGGCTGTGGTCACACGTACTCGAAGAAGGGTATTCAGGCCCACTTGCAGCGCAGCAAGAAATGCCCTGTTGCAGGTACGTGTTGGTGGATGGAAGGGGGCTATTGAGGTGTGTGAGAGGCTAATGTTAGTATGCAGGCTGTCCACAGAAGCTGTCGTTCAACAATTTGGAGCGCGACGTCGAGATGGAAGTTATCATTGCTCGCAGGTGCGAGGCCTTTTGACTTGTATTTCTAGCTGTGACGATTTTGGTTTTGACGCTATTGTAATGTGCTTAGCCACCAAGCATCCGAGCAGCAACGATCCCAGGCTGTTGCTGCCGCGGATGAGGACGAAGAAGACGAAGAAGAATATGTCGTTGAGTAGACATACGGCTGAGTGCAACGATGAATATCATTTTCTGTTTTTGTTCTAAGAAGCAGAGATCGGTGACTCTGATAAGTCGATTTGCGCTGTGGGATAACAATTATTTCAAGAAGCGCAGATGTAGACCACTACCACTATTTAGATTTGAGCACGCTGCTTTTTTCTCGCTTCGATACAAAGCTGCAGGATACTACTGTATATGCGGGTTTGGCAGTTTATCGGCTACAGATTCGAGTTTGCAAATTATGTCCATACAGCAAGCGTCACATTCTTCAGCAATTCGTAAATACCTAATATTGAACGTTACTTGGCTTGTCAAACGAGTTTTATAATACCTCCGCAGCACAGCGTGATGGCGAAAACTGGTAGCCCATTTCACTTTGTCACAGGTACAAAGTGAAATGGGCTTTCAGTTTTCTGCGTCTTTGCTGTAACTAACTCGCCATGGATGAGGCTGGCGTCTTGGCCTCGTTTCTTTCCGCAGACAAGGTGGCACTTGTACCTTAGACCCATTCTTATTGTTCGCCTTACACTCGGCTCGGCTGCCGTTCTCGTTTCCATTGATAATTTTCCAAGTATATTTGTCTGTTATGCCCTAGATTCACCAGTATTCAGCGTTCTCTGTTACTCATGGCCTACAAACTTGAAACACGAACTGACTAGGTTTCACTATGGTGATGAAATGACGCACCACAGAATCTGTGACGCGCGCAACTGCAACATCGCGCTCCTTCCTCATTCTCCGATCTGCTGCCAAAGAGAAACATTAGCTCTCCACCATGGACTACTACAGTAGTGTCCCCATGCACCCTGGCATCAAACCAATAGAGCAGAAGGGCTCGCGGCTGCCCTACCCAATTGGCAAACCCACTGACCAACTCGTTCCACGTGCTCAACTCCGGCAACGGATCGCCAATGCACTTGGTAGAGCACAGCCCCATGGGAAACCTACCTTTGCAGACGTCGCATCTGCCCTCCCGGACGTGCCAGGCCTCGTCCTTGAGGGAATGGACACTGTCCCTCTCCCACTATGTCGGGAGATCTTCGAGAAGCTCGTAAAGCAAGGCGTGGGGGAACAAGAGAACGTCTGGATGCTCTTCCCCCACCTTATCACGATGAAAAACCCAGCGTGGACAGCAGGTATCCAGACACTGGCTGAACTGAGTTCAAAGAGGCTCGGGATCGACAATGGGGTGCTGCAGCCAGTACTGTCCAAGGTGGTGGTGGTACGTGCTGGCGGGAAGCTAGACAAGCAGCAAGACACGAACATCGGTCGCTCCAGGGCGACGCTGGTGGTGACGCTACCGTCTGATTATCTTGGAGGTGACTGGGTGGTCTGGGACGCGGAAACACGGAAAGCTTATCGCTACGATATGGGCAAAAAGGCTGGCAACGCTGCGTTCAAGCCACACTACGTGGTGTACGGCGCTGGAGCGTCTTATGCCATGGAAGAGGTGACGAGTGGGTATTGCTTAATGCTGGTTTACTCGCTGTGCTTGCCTCTGGGCTTGCCGCTGGCTACCCGTCCCCACGTTCGCAACTTGTTGCGTATCGAACTCGCTGAGCTTGTCAAGCAACTGCAAGGAGGACCGGACGATATGGATGCTATCACTCAGCGTTGCGAACAAGCTGAAAGTAGCAGCAACAATGCCGATAATATCGCACTTTCGCTGTCAAAGACCTTGACTCTGACGGAGATTGAGAATGCAGGTGTAAATGCCCTCTCTGGTGTGGATCTGGATCGATTCCAGTTGCTACTTGAAGCGAACAAGTGGCTTCCTCCGGCACACCAACTGGTGTTCTACCTGGCACGACTTGGCTTCGAAGCTCCCGCGTTCGAGTGCAGTGAGTCCTCGGAGCTGAAGCAGGCGGTGTGTTGGTACTCAATTACTGGGAAGAAAATTGGTGCAGACAACATGCGCTTCGTCAACTGGTCAACGAAGCTCAATTTCCTGAATCTTGGCAACGAGAAACTGGGTGAACAAAGGGGAAACGACAAGGAGCCCGTGGCCAAAGGTCTGGAACGCTTTGCTCTTGTCGGCTGGCCTCGATCGTCCGACATCGCACACGCCGTCAACTGGTTCGGAGCTCCAGCGTCTGTGCCTATCATCGCAGCACACGACTTCATCAGTGTCGCGACGCTCCAACTGCTGCTAACTAGCGACGGAGGTGGGGGCAAACTACATTTTTTCCTGCAACTCAGAGCAGCAGAAAGGAACTTTGAGCTTCTCCCATTCTGTCGGAAGTTGGGGGCTGTTGTTGTCGAGTCGGGAGACGTCAACTTGGCCAATACATTTGTCAAGAACGGCGTTACTCTGCTAAAGGAAAAGGAGAAAATCTCATTTCTACCATGGTTTGCAACTCTCGTAGAGAAATTCGAGTGGGAAAATGTGAGCTCAGCGATACTGGGAGCTATCAACGTGAAAGCGTCCGAGATTCGCGTGGATCGAGCTCTGGAACTTGCCGACATCCTCAGCCAGAATATCTCGGCGCACACTGATCTGACAACTTTTGCTCTGCAGAAAACGTGCTCGTGGCAATCCACTCACGCAGACAGATTCGCTGCGTCGGGCAAAGTTATCGCGCTGTTGAATCACGCGATGGCATGCAAAAGTGCCAAGGTTTTCGCCTCTCTATTGGTCTTACTGAAGAAGATCAGTGGGGGGCTTCTCCGTCCTGTCATCGATACACTTTCAGAGTGCGTCGATGAGTCGAGTTTGCCGGAAATTCGCGCTGCACTGGCCTCGGTTGCAATCAAACGGCGTCAGTGGCTGACTGAAGAGGTCGAAGAATCCAAAAGGCCATTTACATGGGACACGGAGTCGATGGACTTCCCTGACGCTGCGTTAATAGTGAGCTTTCTTGAAGGCCCCGACGTCGCGTTTAAGATCTGTGGCTTCCCCGGTATCGGAGACGCTCGAGCTCGTGCCCAATTGCTTCGTCAGAAAATTAAAGGGGCTCTCAAGTTTGAGGCGGACGGGCGAGGACATGACGCGTTTGTGCAAATTCTCAAAGCTGGCGGAGATTTTGATACTCGCAGGAAGGACTTGCTGAAGTATGAAGCGGAGATCGACCGGCTTGGACAGCTCGTGAGTGATCTGCTGCCGCCGGATGAGAACACGAATACCACCAACGTCGATCTCAGCGCAGTGGGGAAGAAACGAGCGCGAGAGGAAGCAGGCGACGAGTTCATCTTCGAATAGGCAATGAACGTTTCAAGATTTTAGGGCGATTTTTATTTTCATGGATAGTTTCCCAATATTTGCGACATCGCACAACCATAGCAGCTTAATTGAAGTCAACTACCTGGGAGGAGCGTGTCGAGTTTGCACTTTCCTTTTCAAGTGCAAAGTACGCTAACGCTGTGATTGCGAGAGTGTTCTGGAAGTATTGCATTTTTAGCTGCAACAATCCATGTCACGTGAAATCACTCAGTACTGATCTGTTGCTTCGTGGTAGGCAAAGTTACAGCCTTAAATCGCGCTTATGTCTGATAATGACGCCATGCGACCTTCAAACAAGTCTTTGGTCGCCCTTGATAGGCTCTACATGTAGGCTAACATGTGATTGTTGCATGACATTCGTATCCAGTTTTAAATGAACGAAATGCGTTCCTTGGAGATAGATCAATCAATGGCTCTACTCATTTGACTTACGCAATAAATCGTAAACGTAACAGCTCCGTGACCTAGTCGATCTCCACAATTTCCGGTTCGTCGACGCGTGCTCGCTTCGTTCCGCTCTTGATCGCGCCGGTAGTTGCATTACTACTGTTTAAATTTTCATTGAGAAGTAGCAGGTTTCCTAGCCGTGCAATTTCAGCCATGTACTTGGGCACTTCTTTTCGGCGCGTATCGAACTCACCGCCCACTTTCTCCAGTTTTACAAGCGCGTGTTGTCCGTACCCAACGACTTCGATCGTAATCGGGGCCTTGATACATTCGCGTAGCCGGGCAACTAAAAGGTGGGCCTCCGACCTTGTTGCGCATTGATCAATCTCGAACGAAGTCTGTGTCCCTTGCAGGAAATCCACAATCTCAGAGACGTAGGAAAAGTTGGAGTTGAGGATTTGCCACGTAAACGGCTTGTTGCACTCGAAAACCTCGTTGATCAGCCACTGGCGACGTCTCAACACAATTGCGGCAAATGTGGTGAATTGTTCTTGAGAACGCGACTTGGCGACAGCTTTCGAGATGGAATCTACGACAGAGCCGAGAAATTTTCCATCCATTTGAAGAAACATATTTCGGATGGATTGAGGAACGTTGGGATGTCGGTTTGCTAGGGTGTGGGAGTGCTGCCAAAGCAACTCGATGCTGCTTAAAGACGCCAGTGATTCTGGATTGTTGTGAGCCAGAGATTGAGCCTCCTTAACCGCAAATAGCGTGATAGCAGAGTGGGCCGTGATATCATCGCTGAGTGTCTCGGACATCTCCAACGCTCGATTCACTGATGACGCTATGGATTCGCCATCGATGGCACGTATCATTGAGTTCCCGATGCGAGCCCATCCTAAGCGTCGCACAAGCTTTGCCAACGAGAGAGTAAATTGGGTCTTCTCCTTCTCTTGCAACTGAGTAAAATACTTCTTAAGAAACGCTACAGCCAGCATCACATCACCCGAGTCAACTATCCCATCAACGAGCTTCTCACACAGCAGTGGAAGTTGCTTGGAGTCATGGATGTCTCGAATGAACTGGTAGTAGCCCAGACCATCATCACAAAGGAGCTGGCGAAGATTGGAAATGCTTATGGCTTCACTGTCCAGAATTGCAGGCAAGGCAGCGGTGAATCCCATCAGCGCAAAAATGTTGGCAATGTCCGTGGAAGCTGGCCACATGACAATCACGCAACACTGGAAATCCCTGCTCTCGACTTTCTCACCGTGTATCCACATCTGCTCCAGCGATTTAGTGTCAGGATTTAAGAAATTGATCTTCTACTTCGCTGACAAGACAAGCTCGCCACTGCTCATCATCTCACCACTAGGAGAGTACCAGGAGACATCTATTGCTTTCTTTTGGTCAGAAGATCGAAGGTGTGCCAAGTACAACTTGAGTTGCTTACCCGGGGGCAAGAGTCTGTTTGCGTCTTTAATCAAAGCCACTCGATCACGGTCCACATCACACAATGCACCAGCTTGAAGTTGCGTTTTGGTAGTGCTTTTTGACAGTATCAACGCGAGCATCTCAATTTCATCTGCACTTCTCAGATCATCGGCATTTTCATCCGAGAGCTTCGCAATAGCGTTGGCAAATTCCAATTGCATCTGCTTCATGCTGGCTTTGCCGATTGTTGCCTCTGGAGGTAAATACAGAGAATAAACTACGACAAGTCGATAGCCGCTCTTCACTTCTTCCACACTGTAGAATGCACCAGGGGCGATAGCCACATAATGTGGTCGAAACGCTGCAGTGTTGTTGGTTCTGTCAAACTCGTACCGGGTCGTGTTGAGACCGTCTTCTTTGTATACCATCAGAGTCCCACCAAGATGCTCAGAAGGCAAGTGCACCTCGAGTGTAGCTACACAACGCTCTCCCCCCGGCATCTGCTGCTTCTCCACCTTCCCTCTGGGCCCATACAGCATCACCTTGGATAGAACCGGTTGCAACGCAACGTCCTTGTATCCGAATTTCTCTGCAATGACGGTACATAGTGTCACGATTCCGCCAACCCACTCTGAGTTCTGGATTTGCACCAGGTAGGACGGAAACACCCATGTTGCATTTCCTTGGTAATTTCCCGTTGTCTCGAGTTTTGCGGCCATTTCTTCCCGTACTGGGAGTGACACAGTCCCCACATCTGCCACACTAACCCCGGCAAGAGCTGGCAACACGTAGGCAACGCCACCGAACGATATTTCTCCTCTCTCAGGTACAAATTTCCCTAAGAGGCTGCAGATTTCTTGGCAAGCTTTTCCTCGCGGAACGAGCACGTCCTCGGGCGCTCCGATCATGTGAAATGGCCACATCTCTTGCGAGGCGACACCAGAGCTGGGGACTTCAGTGTTTCCGCTGGGTTCGTGGTTCATGTGTTTCCCGTCGCGGTGAAATCGGAAATGTTGCACTTCAACTGGCGTTTCACATTATAAAGATTTTCAGCCAATCAGGACACACCAGTTTTGCACAAGTCGCATATATCCTAATGTAGTGATTCATTATCGTTGGCAACAAGTTGCCGTACAGCCCTGTTGATGCAATTAATCCCCAAGTGGCAGGCGAACACCTGCGAAGCACATCATACTCCATTTGTCAAAACTCAAATTAGGCATCATCTCATTAACCATCTACTCGATGATAATAACTTCGGGCTCTTCTCGTGGTCTCTTGGCCCCCGTAATAACAGCCATCTCTGTTAAAGCAGAGGTTTTCTGGTTCTTTCCTATCGTTGCACTAGCTGCATTGGCTGAATATTTTTTGGCCGCGTTTACTGCACTATCAATTGCCTTTGCATCAGCAGCTATGCGATTGAGCTGATGAATTTCGCTTTTGAATCGATGAATATCCTGCGTCTTCTGGGTGAACTTGCCTGCTTGTTTCGTTACAAGCACGTACACATCTCGCCCTCTGCCACCCACCGTCATCTTTAGTGGAGCTCTGATTTTCAATTGGAGTAGTGCCATTCGTTTGTGCGCTTCGTCAATACCTTTAAAACATCGAACCTGGTACGAAGTGTTGGGACCTTGCAAAAATGCAGCCATTCCAGTAGCTCCGACGAAATTCATGTCGACGATTTCCCACGCAAATGGCTTCTCCGTTTCCGCAATCCGATCCATCAGCCACTGCCGACGCCTTGTTGCCAAAGCCTGTAGGAGCTTACGATGCTCCAGTGAGCTCGACGCAGAAGCGCATTTTGATAGAGATTGAACGACTGGACCAATAATTTTTGCTTCCAGTCGTGTAAACACGTTCCCCACATCACGAAAAACCTGCGGACTCGAGCACGCTATTGCGAGTTTCCACAGTAAATCCACGTTACTAGACTCCACAAGTTCGTCGGGACAAATAGAGTGTCAGCTTTTTTCACCGCCAAAATCGTGAGACAAGCCGCTACTGATGGAAGATCGACGAGCGCATCAGCTAACTTCAAGACCAATCCCATACTAACAGAGTACGGAAGGCCATCAAATGCTTGCACGTAAGTCGCATTTACAATCTCCCAGCCAAATTTGTGCACGATGTCTGCAAGTGATGAGATCAACTCACGCTTCTGTCCCAGACGGCTGAAAAATTTCTTAAAGAATACATCAACCAGTAGGATGTCATCGGACTCGACAATAGCCTTGCAGAGGTTCTTGCAACAAGCCAAAGATACAGGTGCTTTGCTGACAGTTTGTCCACTTCGACATGGCACCTGCTTGCCATTCTCTTGCCCATACTGCGTAAGAGGTGTTCAGGTCAGCGAGAGCAGCAATGGGCGGTGGCGACCCAGCAACTCCCTGATTGCCTTGATCTGCGTCGTATCTCAGTAACATCTGAAGTCTAGCCAAATCAACAGGCTCATCCATAAAAACCGAGTCTGCTGCTGCAGCTTCCCCCATGAACCGGTGCGTATTCCTTATGTCAGCCGATGCAGGCCATCCAACAATCGCCAAACGCTCGTATCTACACACAAACTCTCCATCTCCACTTTTCCAAAGCTGACCCAATGGCTCTTTCCCTGGATTTAAGAAATTGAATGAGGTTGTCCAGGTGACAGGAAAAGGAGAGCCACTTCCTAGCTTCTCGCCACGAACAGTATACCAAGTCGCGCTCTCGACGGCTTTCTTCTGGTCCCACCTTCCATAGCAATCCGGAATTTCGTACTGAAGGCGAGCAACATAGAGTCGTAGCTGCTTTTCGGGGCGCAGACTGGCGTTGGCAATTTTTAGACACGCAACACGCTCAAGGTCTATATTGACCTGCATATCGGAGGCTTCAGCCAAGTCTTGCAGCTGAAATGTCTTCGAAAGGATGAGTGCAATTCTTGATTCTCCATCATCCACATTTTTCTCAATTACGTTTTGAGAATTTAAATTTCTCTCTCTGCTCATGTGACAGCTTCATAATGTTGTCAGCAAGTTCCAACCGCAACAAATCGGAGCCGTTGGTGCCGCGAATAAACCGTAGATCTAAAGGCAAACACAGCGAGTACACCAGCATCAAGCTAAACCCACTTGTCACCTCTTCCATCGTATAAAACGCTCCAGCTGTATACAGCACAAAGTGTGGCTTAAATGCTGCCACCCCTTTGTGCCCACCCAGAGTGTATCGGAACAGGTTCTTTGTTCCTCCTCGCTCACCACAAAGTTCCCACCGAAGCATCTGGACGGCAATTGCACCACTAGTTTAGCAATGCACCGATCACTTTCATCAGGATCTTGTTGTAACGGCAAAGACCCTCCTTGCCCAACCACCATCAACTTTGAGAGAACAATCTCCATCCTGACGCCCTTGTATCCCATTCTGACAGCCGACAGCTCGCTCAGCTGCTCCAATCCAGCACTCCACTCTGGATTTCTCATCTCCACGTGGTCTCCCGGCAACGTCCACAGCTTTTGTCCTTCTTTAGTGCAAACTTTCAGAAGTTTTTCACAATTGTCTCTTTGAAGTGGCAGCGAGATAAACTCCTCATCACCTTTAAGGGCCATTCCGGGCATCACAGGCAACGTCTTGGCTGCACCTCCAAAGGAATATTCTCCCGCCTGGTGCGTCACGCGACTCAACAGCTCGCTGATGGCTTGGCAGGCTTCTCCCTTTGGTACGAGGACGTCATGAGGCGCTCCAATGTCGTGAAAAGGCCATGAATCCGTCGAGCTGTCACCGGAAGCGAGCAAGGTGCTGTAGAGCGGGTCGTCCAGGACCCCGTTGCCGTTGACCGCCGGGTTACCGAACATCCGCCCAAGACAGAGAATATCGCAATGACTTCAAGCGCAAAACTACCAGCCAATCAGCGACCGTGGTCGGCTCGCTTGCATGAGCATACCTCGCAAATGCATGTATGGTGGAGCTTCGTTGATGCATACACTTAATACGCACCCTATCCATACGAGCGATTGCCACGTATGAAGCTTAGTGGTGTCGCGCCAAGAGAACTCGTCGAAATCTATAAAAAAGTGATAATATTAAAACATGCAAAATTAGATCTATTTGTGCAAAATGACGTCTTGCGGACCCAACGGAGAATAACGTCTTGCGTACCCGACGGGTCATTTTGCACAAATAGATCTAATTTTGCACTACCCGTTGCGAATCATTATTAAAGTAGATGCTGCCTTCTTAGTGAAAGAAAATTCTGACCGACGGTGACACGTAAGTAGATAAGAGAAGCAAATGCAAGGCATGAGCCTATTCTAAAGATGTAACGATTGGATGAGTGGGACGTTGAAATACGTAAGCGCTTGACCAACACTCGCGGGCCAAACTTAATCTTTCCTGGAAAAGACGACTTGCGTCATCATTGGTCCTGTCGGAAAACTAACTCATCATTCGCAAAGAATTTCTGTTCCACCCAAGAATCGAGCTGATGGCGGCGTTCCCCTCGATTAGGCTCACTTATTTCAACTTTGGCGGCCGGGCTGAGTCCGTTCGACTGGCGCTATACGTTGGTGGTGTCCCTTTTGAAGACAAACGCTTGACCCGCGAGGAGTTCGGTGCTCTGAAGAGCTCATTCCCGTTAGGCCAAGTGCCGGTGTTGGAGGTGGATGGGCAAGTGCTAACGCAAACTGACGCCATCCTAAGATACGTTGGACGTCTCGGTGGACTCTACCCAACCAGTTCTCCCTTCGCGGCGCTTAAAGTCGACGAGATGCTGCATGCTCTGTGCGAGATGGGGGAGCAAATAATTCCTTCGTTTGAAGAAAGAGATGCGGACAAGAAGAAGGCGATGCGTGAAGAGCTGGCGAATGTCACCATTCCACACTATGCAGCTTGTATTGAGGATCGACTGGAGAAGCTACAGCAACTGCCATCCTTCCAGTCGGACGTCGTATACGTGCACGAGATCTCTCTGTACACGTGGATGAAAGGCTTTAGAGATGGTTTGTTGGACCACATCCCGACTACAATTCTGGATGACTACAAGTTCCACAATGCCACGTTTGACAAGGTCGCTGCACACCAACGAGTGAAAGAATGGTACAGTCTGCCGCATGGTCCGCCCAACAAGTTGAAGCTGACCTACTTCCCAGTTCCAGGCCGAGCTGAGCCAATTCGACTCGCGTTTTTCATTGGAGGCATTGACTTTGAGGACGTGAGAATTTCGTTGGATGAGTACGAGAAGGTCAAGTCAGATCTGCCTTTCAAGCAGCTGCCAGTGCTGGAAGTGGACGGTGAGTCTTTCTCGCAGTCGTTGGCTATACTTCGCTATGCTGGCAGCCTTGCGGGTCTCTATCCAACGGATCTGCTCGCTGCTTCTCACGTGGACGAAGTTTTCGTGTTGATCGATGAGATGTTTAACAGCCCTGAGTGGCGCGCGACTGTCAGAGAGAGGGACACGGACAAGCTGCAGGAGATGCGTGAGAACTTGTCCAAGGGTCTTATCCCGAAGACACTCGGGTTCTTAGAGAAGCGTGTCGATGCGTTTAAGGGGCATTACGCTACGGGACCGAAGTTGACGGTGGCCGATTTGGCTGTTTACGCGTTGATCCTTCTCCTGAAAGTCGGCAGACCTGGTATCCCTACAAACATCTCCGACCCGTACAAGAACTTGATTCGTGTTTTTGGCCAGGTGAAAGAGCACCCGAAAGTTATCGAGTGGAGCACTGCTCACGCGTGAGTGAGTCGAGACAAACAAGTCGACCGAGCGATTGTTTCGCAGGTGAAAGCATTTTTTTAACGCAGCTCATTCCACGCTTTTAAACATTGCCAAATAAACATAATTGCTTGACCAGCGAAATACGTTTGAGAGGACAAAAACTGTAGTTAAAATCTAAACTATTTCTTTACTCTTATGTTAGAATCTTCAATCTTTTGAGATTTGTTTTGAGTCATTCATTTTCCGCCGCTCGACATGCGCAACACCGAACTACAGTAGCCCGCCTTGTCGCTCCTGCGGGTCTCCACCCTCTTCGTCTGGTACTCAGCATTGGCGGTGTCGCCTTTGAAGACAGGACTCTATCGCCAAGGGATGTTACGCAGGGCCAATGCACCGAGCTTCAGATGAACGGCGTATCATTTACGCAGTGTGACGCCATGTTTCGTTATGCGGGACGTCTGAGTGGCTTGTATCCAGTCAGTTCCCCTATCATGGCACTCCAAGTTGATGAAATTCTTCACGTTCTGAGTGAAGCCCAAGCCAAACCAAACAACTCCAGCCCATTAGAAACGTCCAGCATCTCGCGCTACGCTTCATTGATCGAGAGACGTCTTCAGCGGCTGCAAGAAATCCCGACGTTAGAGGCTTTCAGTGACGACGTATTACTCCATGACATCGCTTTGTATTGCTGGGTAAAGTCGATTAGGAAGATAAAACTGGCTGAGCAGATTGACAAGCACAAATGTATTGTCGCAGTGGAGGCGAAAGGTGGGAATCATCCCAGAGCGAAGCTTTTGAAGAAACAACAGAGTTCTTGCAAGATATACCCCTCACCTATTTTCCGTTCCCTGGACGTGCTGAGCCGATTCGCTTAGCTCTATTCATCGCAGGAATTCCTTTTGACGACGAGCGCATCGATGCGTGTGAGCTGAACCGAAAACGCTCGACGCTGCCTTTTAACCAGCTACCAGTGCTTGAAGTGGACGGAGAGGTCGTGTCACAGGCGCTTGGGATTCTCCGGTACGTTGGTACGCTCGGGGGACTCTACTCAGCCAGTAAGGCCAAGGAGGCTTTCCGGAATGATGAGGTGTTTGCACTGATCGATGAGTTCTACAGCTCCTACGCTTGGAACGCTTCGTACTTTGAGGCAGATCCGGCGAAGCAGAAGCAGTTGCGAACACGTCTGGCCAAAGAAACCCTCCCTAACACGCTGAGCTTCCTCGAGCGGCGTACGTCGAAGTGGAATGAGCGTCATGCTGTCGGCAACAGCCTCACCGTTGCAGATCTTGCTATCTCCTCTTTACTGTGGACATTTAGAAGCGGACGCATTCTTGGCGTTCCTGTGTCTGTCGTTGCGCCGTTCAAAAAGCTGCTGAGTATTTACGACGTTGTTGCAGAGCATCCGAAAGTGGGCGAATGGGGCTCTATGAAGCACTGAATTCGTGAATTATCAGTAACGTTAGCGCGATGTTTTTTTTTTCGTGATCGCAACTTTCCCTTTATTCTCATTGTACTGAGGCAGCATGACACACTGTTAAACTCTGATTAAAATCTGCTAGCCGCTGTCTTGAGCGTGTTCAATGAGCATCGTCCTTCTAAACCAAACGCCACTTCTCACCAATACTTGATTCAGTAATATCAGTCGACTATCCTCCAGAGCTCAAGCTGGCAGAAAGAAGATTGATCTCCGCGTTATACTGCTCCAGTTGTTGTCTAGAGATCTCGTACTGATCCCCAGTCTTGTTAACAATTACAATCGCCCTCGCATCAGCTTGATGGGCTTCCAAAGTGAATGGGGTTCGGGAGGTCGAATCGGTTGAGTGCGGGAGGTTCTCTACAAATCGAAGTGCTGCAGAAATGTCCGCAAACTCGCCGATAACAAATGAATCGTTTTGTTTTTGTTCCCGAAGAATTGTCTCAATTCGATCTTGTGCGGATATCCAAGCGCTTGGTATCTGCAACGTGAGCTCGTTGAGACGAGAAATCTCGGCTCCCAACCATCGACGCCGAGTGGATACCAACGAAGCCAGCACCACTCTTTGCCCCGGGGTAGGTTGTGCTTGTTCATACTCCGCCACCTCTGTTATAATTGGGCCAAGCACACTTGGATCCAATTTCGGGAGTATACACGCGACCGTATTAAATAGACCTTCGTTGTGACAGCTTGCTGAGCATTTCCAAAGTGAAGCTACATGCTTTGACGACGCTAACACGCCCTCGGGAACAAGTTGCGCCTTCGTAACTGCTAACGTCGTCAGAGCGACCTGAGCGTCACTCACTTTCGCCAACTCGAGAGCTAAACTCATGGCATCAAGAGAATCCATTCGGTCAATAGCGTTAGTCAGCGGCGTACACACCATTTTCCAGCCGAATTTTTCGATCAGAGAGCCTAGTGATGAGGTCAGTAGTTCTTTCTCCTTCAAATTATCGAAGAATCGCATGAAAAATAGCCACACCAACTCCACATCCCCACTTGATGCTATTGCCTTGCACATACGTTGACAAAAATCCAAGCAAGCTGTGGGTTTGTCCCGGTCGGCATCATTTTGATCAGTTCCGGTCGCCATATTCATGAAAGATCGCAGTTTTGATGCATTCACGGGCTTGTCAGCTAGAATCAACGACAAAGCCGCATTCTCCCCAATCAAACTAGTAGTATATCTCAAGTCATGCGCAAGAGGCCACCCCACAACGACACACGCCTTGTACTTGATCGTCATCTCTACGACTAACTCATCACGGCTTAAGTGTTTACTCCACGTGGAGCGAGGCGAGGAGTGGTCAGGGTTCAAGAAATTCATCTTGCTAGTCCGGCCAAGGCTGTCACTCGAGTCCTGCCAGTCCCAATTTTGCAAGATTTGGCCACTCGTCGAGAGCCACACAACTGATTCACATCTCTGTCGAATTCTCCAACGAGATTCTGCCGCACCGCCACCTCTAGTGGAGATCCTCGGGTAGCTGCGAAACAGTGTACATGCACTAGTACCATCGCCTCCAACATCCTTCACAACTTTGGCCGTGTGTTCAATTTTGGCAACATACAACTTCACCTTCTTCTCATCAGGTACACGACTATTTGCCTTCTGCAGTGCTTGGAATCGACCTCTGTCAACCCCAGTGAGTCGCTGGGATCCCTCTAAGTCAAATTGCCCATCTCCACTATTTTCGTTCGCCAACAAAAGTGCAAATGTTCCAGTCGAGTCACCAAATTCCTCGATTGCTTCCTTCAGTTCGACTGGTTCACTGGTGCCACAGTTTCATCATTCGGCAAATGTATCGAGTATTCCAATACTACGCAGTATCCTTTCTTCACTTCTTCCAGCTCAAACTCGGCACCCGCCACGTACACTGCATAGCTGGGTTTGAACGTCGCTTTCCCCATCAACTTGCCCAAATCAAATCTGTAGGTTTTGGTTACGTCTTCGTCATCATACACGATCAAGTCTCCACCTTCGTGCAGCGATGGCAAATGTACCACAAGCTTTGCCACAGCATCTTCGTGTTGTTCAGCGTCCTTCTGTCGCTTTTCGTGTCCTCCACGAGCGTATACCACCGTCCAACAAAACGTCCTGGAACCCTAATTTCTCTCCTAAAGCCACCCCCAGGTCCCCGATCTTGCGGTTCCACTCGGGATTCTTTATCCAAAGTTTATCCGCCGCCAGCTCCCAGCGTGTGCTATCACCCTCTTCGACTCGTGTGCATCGGTCTAATAAACAGGACGCGAAACTGTCGGCCAATGGAATCGGGATGATACCGGCGTCGCACACTACCAGACCAGGTAGAGCAGGTAGATCGACATCCGAGCTTCCGAATGCGTACAGACCAGCGTCGTTTACCCCTACACGACCCAGCGCGTCACTAATCTTCACACACGCAGCACCTCGTGGTGCATAGTCGCTATCATCCGGATCGGCAATGTCCTTAAAGGGTCTTTGCCCCATGCGTAGTGAAAATCACCACAGGAAGTTTCGTTCAGGTACAGTAGTGGATAAATTAACAGCGCTGATTGGCCAGATGGAAATCCAACGTTAGAATAACGCGCACCTGCTCTGCTCTGCTCGACAATTCATTCGTGTTTTTCGGTTGGGGACGCGGTCGAAGTTGGGACAACAGCAGCGACAGTGAAGCTGGATATTATAGGCGAGAGTACTACGGCGACAGTGACAGCGATGAGGAGGACGAGTACGAGGGGCGGTCAGATCGGTATTGGCCGTTCAGCTCCATTGGCGCTGTCAACGACACTTTAACGCCTAAAGGAGCAATCTGCAAAGAGCTGAGCGAAATATTGGGGAAAGTGGTGTCAGGTGAAACGAAATATTCGTTTGGAGACGAAGCAAAAATGCTGTCGGGGTTGCCAGGGCTGGAAGTGAAAAGTTGCGGCAACATTTTACTTCCGATACGGAAAGAAAATGCAACAGAACTTGAGAGTTGCGGCAAGCAAGTTCGCGACAAAGTGTGGATGTTGCCAGGAGATCAAGTGACAGTGAAAAACCCAGAGTGGGTGGAAGGTATCGAGAGGCTGTGCGAAATGAGCGCGGAGAAGTTGGGGTTCAAGAACATTGCACTTCGCCCTGTGCTGGATAAACTGCTACTGTACGGGCAAGGAGGGCAGTTCGAGAAACAAAAATACATCGGGGGAGCTCACTGTGCTGCGAGGTTGTTGGTGCAGCTGCCGTCGGTGTGCACTGGGGGTGATCTGTTGATATCCGAAGAAGGAGCGCAGATTTACAGTGTCTACAAGTTCGGCAAAGAGACCGGTGCTGCTCAATTCGCCCCGTACTATGCCGTGTACACTGCGGGTGCATATCGTTCCGTGGAGAAGGTGACGAGTGGTTACTGCTTGATGCTGTTATATTCGCTGTGTGTTCCCCGAGGAATGCCCAGTTTGAATGGGAAAAGTCCAGGTCAGTTGCAACGATTGCAACTTGCGGAGACTATCAAGAAGATGAAGGGACAAGATCCAGTTAATGTGAAAGGCGAAAATGGGGTCACGAACAGAGTAAACAGACGAGATGTTGCCAATGACAGCACGGTATTTGCTCTCATGCTCTCTCGGTCATGCACACGATATGGGATCGAAGGGAAGGGAACCAAGGCGCTGTCAGGTGTTGACTTGCATCGGTGTGAAGCCTTGACAGCTGCAAATGCACTTGTCCCTCCAGAAAGACAGCTGAAACTCTGTATAGCGCGTCTTCAGTATACCTCAACTGGATATTCAAATGAGCAACAGAGCGCTTCGTGGTATTCGCTCAGTGGGCAGCGGCTAGGTAGTGGCAACCCTACTTCTCTAAAATGGACTGAGAAGCTCAACTTTTTGAATCCAGGGAACGAAACCTTTGGCCAGTTGTGGAAACGGTTCGATGAGAATGGTTTCGCCTATCATGAACGATTTGCAGTTGTTGGTTGGCCGGCGTCCGCTGATATCAAGTGCACATTCAAATTGATGGGAGATGTCGCTGCTACAGAGATGGCACTTTCCGACAATCATGTTGACATCGCCAAGGTGAATGCGATTCTTCAATACAGAGCTGAACAGGGGCGGCAAAATGCCTATGCTCATGGATACATCATGCACGGAAACTCCACGCCAATGGTACTACAGCTTTGTCAAAAGATGTGCAAGGCGCTCGCTGACTCGGGAGACGTGACATACATCGCAACATTTTTCAAAACTTGTTTTTCTCGAGTGAATGAAAAGCGGGAAATGACTTCTGTGATTGCGGACCTCATTCGCAAAGTTGGCTGGGGGCAGGTTGGTGATCCGTATTTGAGATCCATAGACCATTACAGTATACCACATGCAGATCGTGTGGAGTTCCTATTGTCATTAGCGGACGCACTTGAAAACAACTCCGCCGCACGGACATCTCTCACGAAGGCTGCGGTGGAGAGAGCTCGGAGTCTTTCGAATATTAAGCCAAGTGCTTTCGCTGGTTTGAGTGACGTTGACCGACTTTGGAAACATGCAATTGCCTGTGGGAACCTGTTAGTATTTAACGACACGAGGAGTCTTTTCATGGAAATGAATGGCAAGTTCCTTAAGATGGCAGTAATATCACTTTCGACATTGGTTAAACCGACGAGCTTACCGGAGCATAAAGCTGCGTTGAGTTCTCTTGCATCCCGGCGTCGAGCATGGCTTGTTACGGAGATTGCAAGCATTTCGAGGCCGTTTACGTACGAGCTTCCTTCAGCTGATGCCCCCGGGGCAGCGGAACTGACTGCGTTTCTGCGAGGACCAGACTCTTCGTTCATTGTTCGAGGCTTTACAAGCATTGCGCAAGCTCGTTATCGAGTCGCGCAGCTCACTCAAACAGTGCAGGCTACGGGTCTATCGATAACGGCTGAGGGGCGTGGCCAGAAGTCGTATGTGCGGTTGGTGAAAGGCGGCGCCGGGTTTGACCACCGAAAGCACTTTTTGCCGACACACAAGGCCGAAATCATGCGGCTGGATCGCGTAATCCTTTCTGGTATGAAACCCACCGTTGGAAACAAGCGGGCTCGAGATGAAGCTTCAGGGAACTTCACTATCCACTGAGGCTGGTCTTGGGATCTTTGGGCTTCAGGTGTGGTGATACTTGCGTTGCGTGGACACGGTCACAACGGCATATTGATAGAATCGTCGTCGTTTTTAAGGACACACAGCTCTCGCCGCTAACTCTTTTTATCTTTGGTTTACTTGTGCAAATATGAGTGAAACGATTGAATGCAACTTGAGTTTCTGCGCCATCGCCACTCAACTCGTGAAGCACCAAATCGACTACCGGTCAACTGGTTTATCAGGATGATTCATGAGCACTAAATCACCGCGTCCATGTCTGCTACCTTGAAGTCAGCAAGATCAGTCATTTTATGGCTTCTTTTTCTAAAACTCACAAGCGTTATGTATTTTACTTCAAAGTATCTTTTAGCAAGGTCACTACTTTCTTAGGATGCAACCTTTTGGCCGTTTACTGGTTGTGTGCGACGTTCCACTCGACAACCTTCGGGTGTTCCGCCACCAGCTTGAACACACGCTGCAAGTTATTGAACGAGTCTGCGATGGTCTTTTCGAATCCGGGCACACCACTCTTGAATCCAAGCAGCACACCATAGATAGCGAGGTCTGCCACCGTGAGGTTCGCTCCTGCCGCGTAGGGGCCCTTGTTCGCGGTAATCCGCTTCTCCAGGAATGCCAACGTCTTGGGCACCATTCCACTGGACAACTCCGCGCGCATCGCCAGCTGCTTCTCCGTGTCCTTCTCACGGTGAGAGGCACCCCAAAGCGGGAAGTTGAACATGTCGTCGAGGATGTCGAAGAGCTCGTCAATACGGTAAGCAGCCACCGGGTCGGTCGCAGGGTAAAGTCCTGAGAGTGTGCCAGCGTAGCGAAGGATAGCGAGCGACTGGGCAATGACATCACCGTCCACTTCCAACACAGGCAGCTGGTTGAACGGCAGCGACGGCTTGAGGTTTGCCAATTCCTCGTGAGTGATACGTTCGTCTTCGAACTCGACGCCTCCGATGAAGAAGGCGAGGCGGATCGGTTCAGCACGACCAGGTTTGGGCATGTAGACCAGCTTAAGCTTGGGCGCGTTGTGTTGCAGCATGTACCATTCCTTGACCTTGGGGTGGTTGGCCACCTTGTCGTGTGCCTCGTTCAGCAGCTTGTAGCCATCCAGAACTGTGGTGGGGATGTGGTCGATGTATCCGGCACGCAGGGACTTAACCCAGGCGTAGATGGCTACGTCGTGGATGAAGACGTCCTGGGACTGGAAGGCTGGGATCTGCTTCATCTTCTCGAGTCGAGCCTCGAACAGAGCGGCGTAGCGAGGGATCGTGACGGAGGCAAGCTCCTCGCGCATGAGCTTCTTCTTGTCAGCGTCGGACTCACGAAACGCCGGGCCCATCTTCTCCTCGATCTCGCCCATGGCGTGCAGCACCTCGTCGATCTTGAGCGCCAGGTAGGGCACACTCACGGGATAAAGCCCTCCCATGCGGCCGGCGAAGCGCATGATGGCGTGTGACTGAGTGAACACATCGCCGTCCACCTCAAGGATCGGTAACTGGCCCAGTGGAAGCGACTCCTTCATGGCCGCAAACTGCGCATGGCTGACACGCTTGTCCTCGAAGGGCACACCGCCGATGTAGAAGGCCAGACGCTGAGCCTCAGCGCGCCCAGCGGCGGCGAAGTATGTGAGTTTAATGGAGGGGAAGGCGCTCATCGTGGACAACAGGATCCTTGGTTGAGGTAAAGTGTGGTACACGTGGAGCAAATTGAAGACTGAATAGGCGGAACGCCGTACCGGTAGAAGTGAGCAGCTGTCCCGATTGCACAAAATATACTTAATAAGATCTTGATGACGTCATCTTTAGCTGCTGTCACCGATTGTGTTAAGCTGAAGGAACACATTACCTATTAATACTTCGTAATGGCGAATTTTTTTAACTCGTCGAAGAAGTTGTTTGTGGCAATTTGCCAAAGCAAGAAGAAGTGCACATGCATGTTAAGTTATAATATGTGACCAGAGAGCTATTTCACAGTCGACTGGCTTTCTTAGCCGCTGAGGCAGAGTGAGCGGAAGCCTCCGAAGCCGATCTCCGAGATACGAACTGCACCCAGCACGCCCATGACGATGCCACTGACTCCGATAAAGACGGCGACAAGGAAGATCACCAGCGCCGACTTGCGGTACTTTTTGAATAAGTACGACATACCCAGCTGCCCGATAAGGCCGGCCACGAAACCCACCGCGCCATGCCACAAGGCGTGGTTCACCGACAGCGTGCCGAGGATTATAAACTGGATCGTAGTAGCAGAGGACGTGAAAAGGATCATAGACGACGACGTCGCCGACGAAACTTGAGGTAGTAAACCCATTTCAATTAACAGCGGGCCTTTTACCATTCCACCTCCAATGCCCAGCAGACCAGCGGCTACGCCAGCGGCAGTGCACAACGCTGGGTACTTGACGACTGCAAATTTCGTCCAGATCATATCACCTTTTGCATACGTGTAGTCAGACGCCTGCAACATCGTGTGGAAGCGACTGATCTTCATACCAAAGTAGATCGTCACGCTCATGAAGAAGGGAAACGAGACGATGACCAGCAGCCAGTAGCCAATGCTTCCACATGATAAACCAATAACACTGGGCGTACCGTGGCCACCTTTCGCCATAGAAAACAACACGAGACCGATCCACGTCAAGAAGAGCACGCCCATGTCTGCCATAGGGACAGTGCGACGTGTCTTGGCGATCTCCTCTACCGAGAGGAATTTCACCGGTCGCTTGTCTTGCAGTCCCCAACTCATCAAATTCTCACTCTCGTTTTCGTCGCTGCTCGTCTCTTCCTCAGTGCTCGCTTCTGTAATATTTGATGAGCTTTTTCGTTCCTCCACACTACTGGCCTCGTCTGCCAGAATCTTCAGTCGAAGCTCCTCTTTCTCGGGCGACTTGTAAGCCTTCCACTTTAAATACGCTCGCGCTACAACCTGGAACTGCTTGAAGTTCGACTCGTACGGCAACAACCGCCAGTAAGCCACAATGTCCATAATGATCTTGTTGTCAGCATCAACTTCCTCCTTCCAAATCTTCTTGCCCTTGCTATATGTGCGAAGAGCTGTCTTGGTCAGCAGCCACACGATGCAAATTGTGATGAGCCACTCGGGGAACACCGCATTCATGTTAACGCCGATAATTGTACCAGCAAGCGTCATGGGTTCCATCAGGAGCATCGTCTCGTAGTCGATCAGAGGACGGCTGCGCACTAGAGGGTGGCGTTTCCGTACATTCAGCAAGAAACTGGCAATGGCGCCGCCAAAGATTGTGGTCTTGGAAAGCGGCACCGCCTCGTGTGACGACATGCTCATGAGCATGATGTACAGCGGCACCAGCAGACCCCCGCCACCCAGACCGGATCCTGCAGCCAGGATGGTGGCCACAAACGCGCCAATAGACCCGGCGATCTCCTCGTGCGATAGCGGGAATAGTGCGTTGTCCACACAGACTCCTGCACGACACGTGCTGTGCTTCAAACCCTGCGCCAAGCAGTCCGTGGCCGCTTCACACACCACGTCAGACTCCACGTCCAGCACCGGTGAGTCGTTGACATTTTGCGCAAGTGTCAGGCTCCAGATGCACAGGCAGGTCACCACCACTAGCAGCAGCAGAGAGCTTGACGCCATGGCAAGTGCGAAGCAGTGTGGCCAACAGGAAGTGGACTCCACATTCCGGCGCGTCACGGCGGCTTTAACTGGAGCCAAGCGCGTGGACAAATAAAATTGAGCGATTGGATGGATCGGTGCGTTTGATAGCCAATCACAGAAATGATCCCCTCGTAGCTGGCACACCTAGCGAAATGGCGGAAGGCATGAAGTTCTTCTTCAAAGGTCGCATTGAGTCACCATTGCATCGGTGGCTGACCAAGTGCGGCCGCTGTAAAAGGTTGATTGAAGATCACGAACATCGCCTTGTCGACTTATGACTTATTCGGTGGCCAGTTTTAGTTCACTCGAGATCTTTAACTGCTAAAGTGGGGCGTGGAATCAAACCCAAAATCAATTTGATGCTAATGTCGTTCGCTGCCCCGACGCGTGAAACTCTATATAGCTTTATACTGCGTTCGCTTCGACATCATAGCAGTTGCACTGCAACTTGCAGTAGCATTCAACAGTCAGCACAGAGCGAGGAAGAATCGACCGAATGCAGGCAGTGCCCACCGAGGAGCTCATGACTCATGAGCTCCTCATGACCGAGAGTGCTTTGCATGTGCATCCCTCACGGGTAACGCCGGCATCGTAATTCAACAATCAAGAATCGATAGCGCTCTGTGCCAGGCAGATTGACTACAGTGCCTATATTTGACACGACTCGACGCTCAAACCGAGGTAAGCTTATATAGATGAAGAAGCTGTTGCTTCGTGGTTGTTTGAAGTCTACTGGTGACCTTGGTTCTCATAGCTCGCGAAGAGTACCTGGTTTAAGGTCGCGGCGGAACTAGCAGTTATGGCAGTACAGTAAATAAAAAGCTTAAACCGGTTTGCGGTATTCCGGGCATCGATCTGAGTACATGCATTTGCAGTGCTGCACAAGTGCACATGTATAAATAGTATTGTTGCGAGCGTAGCCATCTCGGGAAGTGCAGGAACAGAGAAAAGTGGCTTCACTCTAGCTACACACGCGTCGTCCGTCCAACCATCGCACTGCAGCCAAGCGACTTATCCTTGCGTGGGCTGCGACACCTTGTTCCCGCCGCGAAAAGAACGCTACATCGAAGCTCATGAACATTCCTAGCCACTTCAACTCGTACTTACGTGAGTGTGTGCGCCACACACGCGTGCGTGGAGGGCTCCGATCCAGTTGTGAAAGGCCGGCGAAGAAACGCTTGGGCAGCTCCAAACTAAGACCGCATCGCCAAATTTCTTATCTTCAGCTCCAGCACCCTATAAACTAACTCCAGCTAACACTATGAGTCCTGTCAAGGCGCGTCTCCTCTGCTATGTGTTACATCCTCACTGCCATGTGCTGACGTCATTGCTGCCTGTCTTAGACATGCGTCGTGCTGACCTCCTCGATGGTCTCGATCACTGAGCAAAAGTACGAGATCGGCCACCTAAAGCAACTTCTGGATGGCAACAAGATCACATATACGGAGGTGGACTGCAGCCTCGAGGAGAACCGCGACACGCGCAACCGCTACTTTGAGGTCAGCGGCATCCGTGCCAACTACCCACAGGTCTTTCTACAGGACCCTGAGGGCACAGACATCCACTACATTGGCTCCTTCAAGGAGATTCAGGTACGACAGCCGCGCGTGTGCAATGCTTTCCTCGCCTGGATGGATCTGGACTCACCTTTCTGTGTATGGCTTTCGCTAAAGCAACTAAATGAGGTGAACGACGTACCGCCCGAGATCCTCAAGGCCAACAACATCCCGACGCTCAACAGCGTCTTCGCTGGTACATTCCTCCATCTTCTGCATACAGTGAATGTTGTTCGTCGCCCATTCTAATGGTCGTATTGCCGCTGTGCTTTTACCTGTGTAGACGTCGCAAGACGAGCTTGAAGCGACTTCTCAACTGCAGAGTTGAACCCATGAGGATAGCAGCATCGAACGAAGCGCCACATTGCGCTCGCAGGACTGCTTAAGACGACCGACCCTGCTTTGCTTTTGAGCCGCGACACAAGTTTTTATTCGAGAAGCGATCTGTATCGCGCCATCCACTTCATGTATTACCAAAAGAAGAAGCCAATAGATCAACTCAACCCTACTTTTTTTCGTGTCACCTCCAGCGCCGCACTTTGCCGCACTCTTGTTTAGCTAGTAATAATGCGCATGTGTTAGTAATGTTGAGGATATAAGCAAGCGTGGACGGACGCGATGACGTGGAAGATGGAACGTATATCTATATCCACCCATGACACAAGACAGAACCGTACAAGTAGGTAAAAAGACAGCAACACGTTGTATGTTTCCGAGTAATATTTGCTTTTATGATACACGATGCTCTACTGCTACTCAACAAGGAGAAGAACAGTCTCCTTAAGCTACGAGCTACCTGCGTGGGGTCTCTGCCCGTTTGTGCGTCCGTTTATCGGGTCTAGCTCGTCCCGAGCTCTTCTCCGCCTTGTCTGGCAATGTCTGAATAGCCTATGCTGTCATCAGGCACCGCATCACATCGGCGGCCTTCTTAGGGTCCTGTGCGAACTGATTCAGTACCTTCTCGCCAATGCGGGACAGGTTCAACTGGCGAATTTCCTCCACGATCTTGCCCTCCTCAAAGGTAATGTGCGAAGTCATCTGGAACGACAACGGCTCGTTCATGCCGCCAAAAAGCGGCGCCAGCTCGGCGAACGGAGCAGTCAGCGGCACGTTCTTGGCCGCCTCCTTCTGCACGCTCACCTCGACCTCCCAGTTCACAAGACACTTGTCCGTCGAGCTTGGTTTCCACTGCACCGTGTACTGCTTGATCTCGTACTTGGCAAAGACACTAGCATACATTTTCTTGCTAGCGACAATGTCCGCCACGCCCGCAATACGAGCACCATTGGTACCGTACAGGATCTCAGCGTTGACAGCCCAAATGCCACGAGCGCTCGTCTCGAAGGCCGAGCCATCAGCCTCGTTGTAAGCGCGAATATATGAGGACAAGGTGGTGTTTTGCTTCTTGCGGAGATCGTTCAGTTGAGTCTCAGTCAGAGGTTCGTCCTTGAGTCCCGAGTCCGTGCGAGCCATCTTGGCTTTCAGCAAGCCATTCTCCTTCTCCAGCTCAGCAGTGCGGTCCTCCAGGAAGTTCAGACGGTCCTGTTTGCGCTTGCGGCACTTGCGCACACGCTCGCGGTTCTTCATACGCCGACGCTCGTCCAGGTCCTCCTGGTCGGAAACCCGGTCCGAGTTGGGCGTCACACTAAGACGCGGGTCTGCAGGCTGCTGCAGTGCGGGGCGGTTCATGTAATCGTACATGGGCATGTTCATATTGGGCATTCCTGGGTGGGGCATTTGTCCGTGGTGAGGGCCGCCGTGGCTCATCTGCTGGGTCTGCTGGTGGATATGCTGCATCTGCTGCAAGTGTGACTGCGGTGGGGGGTGTTCCTGCTTGAATTGGTCAGTCATAGGCATCTTGGGCGGGCTGTTGCTTGAAAAGGCCCCAGGAAAACGCATAGGCACCTTGGCGCCCGAGACATCCTTGGGAGTGAAGCCAGAGGGCGAGATCTTGTTATTGTTGCCGTCATGACCACTGCGCGGCGAGTAGCCGGCTCCCGGTCGGTGGATATAGCCATTGGAGGTCTCCGTGGGCGGGGCATTGGGCGCTTGGCTCAAACCCGTGACGTTGATACGCGGCGTGAAGCCAGTAGTGAACCGAGGTGTGAATCCCGAGCGCGGGGTCAGACCCGTACTAAAGACCCGGGGAGTGAGCCCAGTCTTGAAGGTGCCAACGGGCCCACAGAAGTCGCGCAGGTCCTCCATGCCGAATGTACGCGGACTGAGACTAATGGGCTTCGGTAGTCCGCCGATTGGCTGGCCGACGTCGCCGTTGAGGTATCCCGTAGTGGTGGCGATGCCCATGCCGTGACTGCCAGTCACGTTGGGCAGTCCGAGCTCCTCGCGCGCAGAGTGGAGGCCCATGGACATGGCCGTGCTGGAACTGGTCGGGAGGTGGTGCTGGACGGGAGGAGCTGCTGCGCTCGGTCTCTGCGAGTGCGAACTAATTGTTGATCCGAGGGCGGCGAGAGCGAGCTGTCGCGCGGATGAGGCTACTGAAGTAAATGAACGCTGCCGCTGCGTGTCAAGCTGTCAAGCTCCAAGATCTTTGGTAACGACAGGCGTTGGTCCTAGCGAGTGTCGTGTGCGTGGGTTGGTGCCTGCGTGTTCGAGACGCAGCACGTTACACGTAGCGAGCAAAAGAGATTATGTAATGATGGGTCGGCTGTGCTCTGCGCTGGGCTCTGCTGGTTTCGCTCTTCGGCTCGGCAGGTTGGTCCGTCGTTGTGAAGTTGCGGCCAGGAAAGAGAATCGAGTCGTGGAGGTGGTGGGTGCCTTTGCCCAGTTTAAAACAACGGGAGAGCTGCCTTATCGAATTCCACATGATTAGCCTGTCGCAGTGCTTTTTGTTAGGGAGAGAGTTTCAGTACAGTCGATGCGGCTGTTTCTGGGCATCTGGGTTAAAGAGCCGGACCACGACTTGAGCGGCAACTTGGCTCCGGTGTTCCCAGTTGTCTTCGAAAATGGCGAGCTCCGCGCTGACCCGAGGTGCTATCCATGGATAGCTCGCGAGGAGCATCAGTGCAAGGCGCCACACGATGAGTGAGCTGTAACATCGGTGCAGCTGAGCCTCAGGAGTGGATGTGAAGCAAGCGATCACCACACTGTGGTGACCACAGCGATGTGAGCTTTGACTTCCACCACGTCAGCACGGCAGATGTCCGCTGCGCAGTATCTTTTGGAGCTGGCGTGCCACTCCTCGGCGGTGCGATTGTCCAACCGCCGGGTGGCAACTGGGTGCTGGGACTCTTGTGGCAAGACTTGTGCCAGTTGTTGTTTCTCCATGGAGTTCTTGGGCGCCAGCAGGAGGAGACAATAGTGGTTCGCAGGCCGTGCCACACCGGCAGCTGGTAGGCGCTTGAAAAATTAGTGCAACTTGGCGATTTCCTGCCACGCGGTGGTGGTGGACGAACTTCATCCTGTAGATCCGCAAAGCCCTGGCAATCATGTTGCCATCGCGTTCGATCTTTTTGCTCATACTAGCCCCGCTCAGCTTCGCCGTCTCTTGCAGGGTCGCGAGACCGCCGTGGTACATGTACAATGCTTGCTGTCACTGCGACGACATTTGCCAGCAATACCAAGATGTAGAACTGTCCTACTAGGACATGACAATAAAATCCGATTTCATTCGGAGCTGCAGTGCGAGGTCTCTCGCATCGTGATGTCGCCGCTTGGCAACAGCCTCACCAAGATTATATTCCTAGGTAACTTACGTGTACAGTATCCAATCTAATGACATGTATTAATACATGTTCGTGTATTATAGCACATGTATGTAGTAGTACATTGTCATGTCTTTGTATTTTTTCATTTAAAAGATTAGAATGGCTAACTAAGAAAGCGGAGGTATAAAAATAATACTACGAAGCACTATTAGTTCTACTTGTCGTAACTACTACTACTTTTGTATATTAGTGCAGAAATCCATGTCAGTCACGCGTGAGCAACTTCGACTACACGTACAGCGGTGACTCGTGCAGTTGAGCGTATAATTTCTTTGGTGTTGACACTGGGCGAAAGAAACACAAGTCGATCCGTCGGACAAGTCGCAGATCCATTACTCGCGTACAAATACAAATAGCTCACCACGAAACAGCGTAAGTAATACACCAACGCCAACGCATGGTTGAGAGTAGCCACTAAAAAAGATAGCCAAAGTCGCCACCACAGCCTGCCTTAATATTTTGCCTGGCGCTTACAGTTCGGAGGCCCGGTGTTCACAATAAAGAAAGCGAAGATGATGAAGTCAAGAAGGAGGTCGAGACGAAATAAACACAGGACAAGCTACTGGATCTGCTCACGAGTCTCGCAGAGAGCATGGAGCGACTGCAGGCGTCGCAAAGGCGACAATACGCGAAGATTTAGGTGGGACTGTGTTTGACGTGCTCGACTGAAATCTCACATGTCCACAGTGTCATTGTCGATGAGGACGGTTCATGTACAATTGCGCATGGCAGGTATCATACCAGTGGATCAAACAAATGGAGAGGCTGTCCTCGCAACCAATGGCTTCTGCAGCGTGCGTCCAGCAAACTACATGTATTAACTTTACACATCACGACGTGATTCACGTCGACAGTGAGGGTAAGATGTCGCGCCTCAATTCACCTGTGCTCGCTTGAACCTGCAAGATGTCATACGGTGCCTCCCAATGCAAATTCACACGTTCGCATTCAGCTGGGCAGCAAGCACGGAGTCTTTCTTGCTCGCTCTTGAGTTGGCAGTTGGTGGCGTGCCCCCAGCTCATCTGGCGTGACCACAAGCACGTGGGATAATTATCGCAACTGACCGTAAATACGTCAAACTTTTCCAAACTGACCGTAAAACATACACATGTCTATAAATGCTGTTTGATTGGTTACATTTGTTGAAGTTCACTAGTAAAAAAAGATCAAGCGAGGACGACTCCACATGTACCGCTCCATTACATAGTCGCTCACTCTACAACTATCATGGAACCAGGCAAGGTTAACGTTCAGTCCAAGTACGGGAGGCAGTCAGTTACATTTAGGGATGTATTTCTATCAGCGTCTGACAGTACAGCGTTTCTTCGTGCTTACGCTTTCAACGAGAATAAGTCAATGGGCTTTATTACCACACCACTCACCCCCCACATGGGGATCAAGCAAGGATGTTCAGGTAGCAGTAGATCCCCTAAAGACGCAAAAATTCCTCAGACGCTTGTATCTACGTAACATAGTTGACATAAACAAAATAAATTTTGAGATTACACACTCACTGCTAGAGAAACACTCGTCCACGTACCTGTACGACGGTCCTGCTCCCCCAAAGCCTGGTATTCCTGTGAAGTTGGCTCGCTCTCTCCTCACGTACGGCTTGGTTGCTGCGAGCACAAAGTCAGTTATTCATTCCTGTGACGCTGACTCATCTGCTTCTTACGTCTTAATTTCTTTCTGAGAACCGTCTCGCCGTATTCAATATTAATCCTGCAAAACCAGCAACGACAGTTGTCTTTAGTCCACAACACACACGCAAAAGTAAGTGAGATACTCAGTCTGCACATACCCGTCTGCAGAACTTTCGTGGTCTCTGTGTACTCTTCTTGCTACCAATAGATCCGATCTGGCACTGAAGCAGTCTTTTTCTTTTTCTTCACCGCGTCCCAGTTGTACATCAAACCTTTTATACTGCGATGTCTCTTTACTTCATGTACAAACGCCGGCTGTGTAAGTTTTACGGTCAGTTTGGAAAAGTTTGATGTATTTACGGTCAGTTGCGATAATTACCCCAAGCACGTGGCACTAGAGGAAAGGGTTGGTAAGAGCTCCATCTCCAAAAGAGCTAATTACTTGGGGCATCCTCGTATATGAAATAGTGGCAACATGCGCTAGAGTTGGTAGATATATTTTTTCACCAGCTTTAGCGCAGCCTGAGCTAAAGTTAGATATCTAATAAAATATTAGAGACCTTTCGCAGCTCCTTTTGAGTTTATTTTCAGCGAATCCCGGCTGCCACAGGATTGCCTAAATTGATTTGCATTCGAGAACTTTCGCAGCCACGCTTTCTATTTAGTTTCTGTCTCAATATTACAACTGCTAACTCACTGCCAGCTCTGCACCTTACGACATGGAAGAGAACGCGCCGTTGAGCTTGCCCCCTGCACAATAAACTGATCAGGAGAACCTCACAGTAGGTGGGTCTCTCGTACAGCCCGCTGGTCCAGCTCGAAAGAACTTTACGACAGCCGAAGGTACAGCGAACGGTATAATGAAAAGCTTTGACAAGATTGCAGACATCTGCAATGAAATGGCTGGTTTCGTGCGAGACAAGCAAGGCCCAGCGCTGCGTACGCGCTATGATAAGCTTATTCGTCAGCATCGCGACGCACAAGTAGTTTCAAGGAGGTCGTCTGGAACGACGGAAGAGTACAACGAGAGAGACGTGCTCTTGCAATACATTGTCACCCGTATGGACGACTGGAAGGAGCGTCAAGATAGCGAAAAGCAGCTCCAGCGTGCCAAAGATAATGGCATTGAGGCGTCGGGTGTCTTAATGCGCAGATTGGCAATGGGAGAGCTGGTGGAAGAGCTGCAATCCGACACAAATTCCAACAGTGATGAAGGCAACGAGGGACAAGACGAAGGTGCAAATGCAGGCACTTCCTGCAGCGGGGCTGCCGTAGCTTTAGCGTCAGAGGAAGACGTTCGACTCAAAGAGTCACTAATACTAAGTTCCTTATCCAAAGGACACTTACAGCCCAAGACCAGGGCTCAAAGTTAATACCTTAACTTTTATGCTTCAAAACCAGAAGTGTTTTATTTACTATTATTGCGGCCAAGCCGCCTAGGGGTAAATGTATCTCTAACTATCTAGCATAGTTAAACCTAATCAAATGCATAACGTGTGGCTTTCAGCCAACGTACTGAGAGACTTGTTAACTCTCCAACTTATGTACTGAGAGTTTGTTAACTCTCCGGGTACTTCGTACCCCTGTGTGCTCCACACCATGTAACCCCGTTACACTCTCCCCCACTAAGATGAGAACATTCCGTTCTCGAAACTCTCCTCAGCGAGGTCACGTCTTGTTAAGACGGCGGAGGTTACTACACCGCACACCAGCGTTGTACAGCTCCGTGAGCTCACAAACGCCTACGCATCGTTGATGCCCAACTTCTTGTCGTCGGCCCACGGCCCAATGCTCCAAGCGCAGCGCGCATCTTGCTCTCAAGCGGTCTCAGACCTACGCTCGCGCTCCGCGCCTACTCCAAGAGCTGCAAACCGCTTAGAGCAATGCTCTTGACTCATTCGAGTCGTCGACAACAGCTCAGCGGCTGGACACTCGCTTCACAAGCGATAGGTCCGTGGTTCAAACCCACTAGGGCACAGCCCTCTCGTTCCATGAACGATTG